GTGCTCCCCCCGCTGGTCCATGGTTTAGCTCAGCCAGCTGGATCGCCCTACTGAAGGGGCCAAGGAAGACAGTCCCACATCGGTCTGGGTCGGTGAGTCCCTTACAAAGAAAAACTATTCAAGATACATCCTTATTCTCAGTCAACTGTTTGGAAAACGCTTCCTAAAGATCATGGTCTAGTGGATGGTCAGGTGTCCATTGCTTCATTCTAAACAGAGAGAAAACCATTCCACACACTGGGAAACCCACAAAAAAGCCCTTAGACCTGTTTTGCCGGGCCCACGTGGTATTTAAGAAAGTACTTAGCCACTATTTTTAAAAAAAAAACTGAAGATTTCACATTAACACTCTGATTTCTGGATTCTCTTGGCATCACCAGCCCTTACTCCTCCACAGAAACTGCCACTGAGCAGTGACTGCCTGCCTGAGGTGGGGCAGGGGCTCCCCTCCTCCACAGGGAGTGGGTGCTGTCACCTCCGTGTACACCACACCCTGGTCCTTACGTCTGTTTCTCCAATTCCACCATATCAGTGAAGGCTCTACTAAGTGACATCTGTCATCTGGGAATTCTCACTTCTGGGCCCCAAAGGGGGTCTCGGGTTTACGACAGAGCACTGGAAAGACTCTGTTCCTGTCCTGTGGGGTGGATAAAAGGACCACGTGCGTGCCCTTCCCCCATTCCTGGTTGTCCTGAGGAGCTCTGATAAGGAAGCTGTGGACAGTTGTGTGCCACCAACCCAACAGTTCATGGTAGAGAAATGGAAAAGCTTGTCCGGAAACACATGCTGTTGGTCAGAGGGTCTCTCCAAGGACAGACGAGACATCCCTGGTGGCGGTTCCAGGAGCTGACCAGACAGCTGTAGAGCGAGGGAGTGAGTGATGTGGCCACAGACAAAGCCACAAGCCCAAGGAAGGTTCTGCGGGGTGGCGGGGAAGGCGGGTTAGATGCATGTGAGCAGAGTCCAGAGCCACAGCCACTGCCAACTCACTCTTTGCGGTCATGATTCTAGAGCAGCTTTAACTTTTATAGCAAGAGAGAGATGTTACAAAGGAGCAGAGGAAGGTTCCCTTGGATCCCCGCTGTCCCCTTGAGTCCTGACGAAAAGGCAAAGAGCACGAAGCCAAGACGTTAGAGCCTCCCGTTCTCTCTTGTCGCCTCGTTTCACGAGCTAGACCATCGGAACTTACAGGCCAAGGTCTTCTTCATGTTTCTATATCCCAACATCTAGCACAGTTTCACATATAGATGGTACTTAAAAAATAAAATAAAATAAAAACTTGCCATCTATGAAAGTGGATATAGATCCAGAACCTCCGAGTTGAAATTTGAATTCCATTCTCCTGAATCACAGTCTGACAATTCTGTTACATTGTTTACTTCCTTTGCAGACGCACGCGCATCCATCATTCTTCAGAAATACAGACAAACCTTTCTACCTTTAGTCATCGGGGATGATGTATGCTGGTGCCTGTTTTGCAATCCTTTATGGGTATTATAAGAGAGTGAGCATACACCCTGGCTGGCCCAGGACGATGTCGGTTGATGCCCATTGTCGCAGGATAATAAACAGTGTTCCCTTTCATTCTCACAAGTGTCTCGTTCGGATGATAAATCGTATCAGGGGTTGACAAACTTTTTCTGTAAAGGATCGGACAGTAAATACTTTAGGCTTTGTGAGTCATATTGTCTTCGTTCCAACTACTCAGCTCTGCTCGCTGCAGCGAGATCAGCCATTGACAACATGCAAACAAACGGGCACGGCCGTGATCCAGGAAAACTTTACAAAAACAGGCAGCTGGCCGGAGTTGGCCTGAGGACCCCAGTTTGCCCAGGCCTGAATTATAATGGTAACCCCCCAGTTACAAAAAATCCAGGAATATTTTTTTTTCACTGTGGGAGAAAAGAGCTCTTAAGGAGATGATATTTTGAGCGGAAAAAAATGTAAAAATCAAGATCATTCAAAAACATGTTATGTCCAGTATAATCTTGAAGATGAAATACTACCTCTTTAGAAAAGGTGAGTTCCAAGAAAGGCCTTATCCTTAAAAGTATGTGCTTCGGAATTTTTAGGGAAAACAAAAAGTCTATCGGAGGGAGATTTTTACTTTTGAGAATATTTGAAAAAATAGAGTGATTGGAGAAGCAGCAACTGCCTGAGGTGTGTTGCTTTCCACACGCTGAGGGAGGAACCTCTGAGCTTTATGCTAAAGAAAAAAAAAAAAGCAAGAAGAAAAAGGATGCTCGGGGCCACCAGGAGGAAGGCCTGGCTTAGGGTCAGGGATGAAGGCAAGAAATGGACTCCCACTATTTCTTAGTGTCACACGACAGGGTCTGGAAGTCCCTGCGTGACTCTCCTGGGGACAGCCCTCCCAAGGTCCAACCAAACGCCACAGACACCCAGACAAAGGGCCTGTCCAAACACTCGAGAGCAGCACAAGGGCGCCACCTACTGTACGAACTTCCGGCGACAGCTCCCCTCCCCTGGGGATTCATTCGCAGCCATCGGAAACGACTGGACTCCAGGCACGCAGGACTGAAGCAATCTAAGCTGTGGATCTGCCAACTCTCTGGGGTCCCTGGGTCCTCGCAAGCAGCTTTGAGGGGCGCGGTCAGTCTTGAGGACACTGGAAATACTGTGTATTCCCAGGGGAAAAGCCCGGTTCTTTCAGGGGATCGCGATTCAGCTATATTTAGCCCCAACGTCAGTACGGTGTTTGGCACATTTTTTTAACTGTCAGTCATTAGTGTGATTCAGGAGACAAAATAGAAAACTTTAATAAGAAATGGATGGTTGCGTAAGCTCTGTCTAAACTGATCGTGTGCCTCACGAAGCCCTTCTCCGAGGACGTGCTTTTTGCTAATTTCTCTCCGGACGTGGCTGGCTGTGTACGTTTGCCTCCAGGAGGAAGGGGTGCTAGGCAGCAAGGCAGGGCCGCACCCCGGTTTAAGGCCCTGGGCGTCCACCGTGTGTCCTCCTCGTGCTGCCGGAGTTGGCGCGTCTGGCGTTCACGACCTCTGTCTTGGGATGTCTTTGTGTCTGTTTCTCACGGCCCCTCGGAGAGGATGGCTTTTTCCTCTATTCAATGAGGTCTGCGTGTGTGTCTTAATGCTGTCGGTGTCTGCCTCTTACACTTGGAGCAACTCTGTTTGAAAGAACTGTTTCATTCCGTATTTAACTTCCGGTAAGCTCTTTCTCCCATTAAAATAAAATATATTATTAGTGAATACAGTATCTTCTTAGCACTCCGGGAACAGAAGGGAGGGACAAAACCCTAAATATCCCTCCTATCACTAAGAAATCCAAACAACTGTCTGACTGGCTGGATGCAGGGTATGGGAGAGGGGGACTTCTGGATGTTTCTGTGTTCCATTGAACCTCGAGAAGTGCCCACTTTGAAGGCTGAGAGGACAGAGCTTGCATGGAGAAAGAGAAGAAACAGAGTATGTCTCCAGAAGGCCCACTCACAGCCCCTCGGTTTATATGGCTTACGCCTCCCCTCGAAGGAGCAGCTGGCTCCCTCATCCACCCCGCACCTCACGACCCTGCTGGCCTTGGAGCACCGGCCACCAGGCTTCGACATCACACAGGGCGGCAGCCACCACTGTTCATTCTCCTCCCCCTAAGAGCCACCCCAACCTGATTCCAGAGGGGAGGGTCAGCACTACGCACTGGACAGCCAATATAGGCAGAGTTGTGGACGCCCGGGGGCCTTCTGTAAGTGCCGTCGCTGTCCGTGGTGATGAGTCTGTCCTTCTCAGCATCTCCCGGGCAGCCGTTGACCTGGTGTTTCCGGCGTGGCTTAGGAGAACGTTTTATCCGCGAGCTGCCAGGACAAAGAGGTCATCGCTGTAGGAAAGCAACCCTCCTTCCACCGGCTTGTCAACTAAACACTAAGGATTTTCTGAGCGCCTATGACATGCTAGCCGCTGTAGCAAACACCCCGCAGGATAAAAAAAACAATGTGTAGGACACAGTCTCTGCTCCAAGGAAGCTGCCTCCCTGGCTGGACTAACAGTAACACACAAGGAACAACGGAGAATACGAGGCGACATACACGGATGATGTTACTGACGTAAGCAGACATTCGGAAAAGGGCAAGGCCAACGTGAGCGACTGAGTCATAGCCAGCTCCCTGCGGCCTGAGCTGGGTCCTGAAGAGCAAGCAGGATCTGCAGGTGGGGAAGGAGGTGGGAAGAGGGTGTGAGGTGGCCCCACACGCAGGGACAGCAACGGAAAGACAGATGAAGATTCGGGGGCATGAGGCCACCGGCTAAGACAGTGGCAGGTCCCTTGTGATGCTGTGTGGTGGGGAACGATGGGAATGGAGAGACAGGCCCCACCGGTCATGGGAGCACAGGCCCCATGTGGAACCATCACAGGTTTTGAGTAGAGAAAGATGCAAATGAGAGCAGTGTTTAAGAAAATGCCTCTGCGTTTGGGGACAGGGGTCTGGGACACCAGGAGACCAAAATGGAGTGGGGCCGTGGGACAAGAAATGAGAGAGCCACCTGGTGACCAAGCGTAGGAGGTGAGGATACCGGGGGTGAGCGGGCTGAGAGGTGAGGGAGGGAGCCAGGGAGCAGGGCCTGAGAAGGAAAGGGTGACCAGCGTTTCCAAGTGCTGACTTCGGGGGGACATTAAATGCAGGAAAACGTTTGGAGGAGACAGAGGTGAAGGCCGGAGGGTGAGGGCGGCCGGTCCACACAGGGGGACCCCTCGAGAAGGGTTGGGCCGCCCGGGCAGCCTACACCACCTTTCTGTGTAGAAACCTCTTTGGCTCATTTTCAGCGACACTGTCCCCCCCACCCCCAGCTGTGACAGCAGGGCCATCCGGCCTCTGCCCTGGGACCCCCACCTCTTCCGGGGCTCTATGAACACCGAGGGCACGCTGGCCGTGGGGTCCAGGATCTTGTCGATCTGCATCTGCGCCCGGCGGTACACGCGGTGGCGCTCCCGCGTGTCACCCGACGACAGCTCGTCCACCACCGGGAACTCGTAGTGGCCGCGGCGCTTGGCGCGCAGGCGGATCTTGTTGCGGTGATGCTCGATCTCCGACTTGTGCCGCAGCGCCGTCTGAATCTGGGGGGCGACAGGGGAGAAACGCGCGAAGGGATGTGCCCCAAAGTCTCCGGGACCCGGCTCTGACAGCATTTTGAGAAGGGCTTCCTGCGACGTCCCTTGCCCGCTGGATGGCTGTCCTCTCCCCACGAGGCCCCGAAAGGTGTGACACAGACAGGCACAGTCACGTGGGGTGCAGAGGAGGCGCCACCACCCACCAGCTGTAACCCCGCACTCGCCCCGCGTGTGTGAGCAGGAGGCTGTGGTATCGCCCCCAAAGTCGGGCAGGGATGACTAAAACCTGGGTGATCGGTGTCAACTTTGAAGACACTCAGGGACACCGACGACTAAACAGAATATGCCCTGAGAAAAAGAGCGAATGTTTTCTGTATCTAATAATCACTGCTTAAGGGACTTTAAGACAGATTCAAAGATGATGTCTGCACCATCCAGCAGAATACTCACTCACTGATAATTACTGATAACTGTCACCGAAACAAGGTCCCTGACATGACGCCATCCCCTCCCCCGCAAAGACGGCACCCACAGGTATGGAAGCAGGTCATCACCGGCTCCTTGGAGCCTGAGCTAGGTCTTGAAGAGCCAGGAGGACCTGAAGAGAGGAAGGGGTGGGGAGAAGGGGTGCGGCGAGGGCGTGAGGTGCAGGCGCCACCACGCAGAGGCCAGAAACAGGGACGGTGACGACTGTTCGCCAGGCAGTGAGGTGACCGGGTCATGGGGTGACAGGTCAGCTGCACTGTGCAGTGCAGACTGGGAAGTGCTCGCTTTCATCGAGGTGCGGCCCACTGTCCTGTAAGCACCTAGTGAAAGCACTTAGAGGGGATGAAGGGAAACCAAGCTGGGAATCTGCTCGCGAGGGAAGAGCAGGACCTCGGGCCTGGGTAACACGGCCACGCTGGCTATGCCCCAGGGGACTGAAAGCCACATCCTCTTGGAGACGGAAAAGGACAGTCACTTGCGAGAGGTTCTCAGCGACTGACCAGCAGGAGAAAGCTCCTCTTACTCTCTCAGGACCTGACTAGTCTTTAAAAATTATGAGGTCCTCAGAGGAAGCCCAAGACATGCTAGGAATTGGCACCAGCACCTCCGTCTAAGAAAACATTTCAATTGGGACGTGTGAGGCACACGGGTAAGTGTAACAGTACTGGTAATGCTCTAGTTCTTAAGCTGGGTGTTGATTTCATTATTATGCTTTATTATATATATATCACCTATAATCATGCGTATGCATCCAATACTACATTCATAAAAGAAGTAAAAGGAAAACAGTGAAGATGCACGCTATCGAGCTGTGAGGCCAAAGGTGAGCCCATTCTTTCTTTCGCCAGATGGAGAACCCGCTCCAGGGTATTTACACAGGGCAGGTGTAGGGGCGCACACAACGCGAGACTGACGGAGGCAGGTCGAGGCTCGGGCTAGGGCTCCTGAGCATGGGTGAGAAGGGACATCACTCCCTATCCTGAGCCCAAGGTACACGTCACGTGGTCAAATCCTTGGCAAGGAGCCCATGACAGATGGATAGGAGAAACTCTAAAAGTCTCGATGAGGCGTCTATAAGATGACCCACTTAAAGGATCGCTTTTAAAGTGGGGATGGGAGCTCAGCTGTACCAATATCTTATTACTCCCACCTGGCAGAACCCACGACAGCAGCAGGTGTCTGTTAGAGGCGGGAGACTGACAGACATAAAGCTGTGTCATGTGCAGTCCCAAATGGCGTTCACTCCGTTCACTGGCCAGCCCAGGTCACATCTCCCAAGTTCAAGTTAACAGAGATGTGGCTGGCTTTCTAGTTCCCAGTATCTTAGGAGGGAAGCAGATTCACTCCCTCTTCCGGGATTCACTGGGATAGGGTTTTACTAGGAATTATCTAGATAATTGAAGCCAGAGAGGATCTATCAGGAATCACAAAGTCTCCTACGGCCTCAAGACTACCCCAGGTTCAGGTTCACTGACTCATTCGAACTCGCAGGACTCAGCCTTTCGTCCCAGTTATTATACAAAGCAAAGTCGGCAAAGGGACATGGCACATGGAGAGCAATCTGAAGGGGACCAGGCACGGGCCTCCAAGAGTCCTCTCCCATAGGGTCACACCGGATGTGGCTAATTCTTCCAGCAATAAGCTGTGACAACACGTGTGAAATGCTGTCTACCAGCGAAGCTCAGAGACCCACCGCCCAGGGCTTTGAGCAGGGGCTGGTTACAGAGGTAGCCTCTGCCTGGCTTGTGCCAAAATTCCAGACTCCGAGAAGGAAAGCAGATATTCAGCGTACATCACACTGTTTGTACAGTGAGCCATCCTGTATGGAGATGGTGGGAATCTTTCTGGAATTCAAGTTCCTAAACACCCGCCATAGGACTTTGGAAGACAGCAGTCTCAGGTCTCATTTGCATATCTGCCAATATATCTAATAGTGTCTCTGAACAGTACGTGATCTAAAATACACCCGAGCAGAGTATTTAAAATGAAGAATGCTTGTCAGCCGCTCGTTCCTCTAACAACCTTTTCACACGAACTTTCACTCATTTTTAAGCACGGACCAAATCAGCATCTGATGTCTTTTCACTGATGTACTTTTTTCATAAAAACAAATACCTCTTTGTTAATTTTGTTGGTTTCTGCCACTCGGTCAGCCAGTACGGGGTGGTGAACTGGAGGTGCCGGGATTGGCTGCATGGCGATCAACTGGATCTTACTGGGGACCCGCCTGCTCGCCTCCGAGGAACGAGAGATCCTGTCCACGTGCTCAAAGATGGAGGCTGATGAGTGCTGCTCATTCCCTGAACTGGGTGCTGGTGGCCCTGAACAGAAGCAAAAGCAAATATATATACACACACACATATATATAAAATCACTCTAAATATCTGTGTGTGTGTGTGTGTGTGTGTGTACACACACGTATATATAAAATCACCCTAAATATTTGTACATATAAAATCATCCTAAATATATACTTTTATGTATATATGTCATCCCTAATACATATTGTATATACATAAAGTCATCCTAAAGAAACAGCAAAGAATCAAAATTACAGATTAATCCTTACAAAACCCTCGGATGGGCCCCTGACCAAAAAAACACATCCCCACTCTGTGGCAGAGGACTTGAAATGTCACCGTTTGAGCTTAAATGTCTGGGTTCAACATCATCTCCTTCGGCCTTATTAAAGATTACCAATACCGCTAGAAAAGATACGACAATTGCTCTGACACTTTGTGCCGAAAATTGCCATTTTGTCTTCAAAAGAGGTTTCCAGGTCTTCAGTAAGAAAAAGTCAAGGGAGGGAGGAAGCCGAAATTGCTCCATCCATAGCAATTTACAGAATTTTTAGGAAAATGATCATGGCGGCCCCGAACATCCACTCTCATCTTGGAGAGGTCATTTAGCTGCTGAGGCAGGTGTACAATAAAGACGGGGGGACTGCGGGCACGCAGGCACGTGCGGCCCAACTCCGGCTTTCAGTCCCAACGCGGGAAGATTAAGTTGTAGAGGCACGAGAAGAAAATGCTGCCGCCTGGAGAGAATGCATTCCGCTTTAAAAAAAGATGGAGCGTACACTGAAAGATGGTTTTAAAGGGGTACATGTACGGCATGCATATTTTACCAAAATGGATTTTTTTTTAAGTCATCAGAACTGCAAAAAGGCAAAAAAAAAAAGTTTAATAAGCAGAAACAAGATAGAAAAGCAACTTCAAAATGTTCATAGAGACTACATCTTGGTATAAAGGTGATTTTTTTTTTCCGATTTCTCATATTTTCTGTAATGAGGATTTTCTCTAAGGAGTACTACTTTTATGGTAGAAATAAGCCTAATGAACTTTAATTTTTAAAAGGCAGAAACAGAGATGGAGAGATGAAGACGGGCTGAACAGAGGAAACAGCTCTACAGAGCTAGTCAGACGCACTGAGATCTCTGACGTCCTCCCTCTGGTTGGTCACAGGCACCTCGGGGCCTAGAGGAGGAGTGAGAGCATGCCGAAGCCGATTTCAGACAAAAGCCTGAGGTTTGCAACCTCGAGCACAAGTGAAAAGCATGGAGGTGTCTCCCCAGTGTAAAAAACAATAGAACTGAGCAAAGCAGTAAGAAATAGCCGACATCTGACGTAAGGAACACACACGGGCACTGTGTAAGTCTATTTCCTTTCCATTTGAATTCTAATCACTCGTTGTCCCAAGAGGTGAGGAATGATATCACTCTGAATGAACATGGCCTTTCTTAGCAAGGAGGCGGTTTCATGAATTCTGGCTACTCTCAGGCTTTCTTCCCTGCCCTGGGCCTGGAGGGAGACTAGGGAGACGATTTGTGTGTGCAGCGCAAGCACAGCCAAGCACCACCATCCACCCGATGGCAGCTACTCAAATTGCAGGCACAAGGCCTAAAAGGAGATCATGAGATTCACCAGATAGGCCAGCCCTGCTAACCCAGACTTAAAAAAGTGACAGCAAATGTCACAAAGGATAGCCCATTAAGCTATTGACACCTTAAGGTGAGATCACTTTCCTCCAGGATGGTAAAAAGACCAGCATGGCAGAGAGCTCCCAGTGGCTGGAATGCAAAGGAGGCAAAGGAAGAAAGCCACCCTCCAACCCCGTCCCACCCCACGCTGTCTGCCTGCCTGGGTACCACAGAAATACAGGCCTGCGATTGGCTCCTGTCCACATCCCATCCCAACCCCCCGCTGTGGTCATGGAGCCTTGCTTTATAATCCTACTGCAGCTAGAGAAGGCAGAGATACACAGAAAACCCTCCAACTTATATAATACCCAGAACCCAGCCATTTAAAAGATGGAAAAGCTAGGTTTGTTATTTCTCACACATACATTATAAATATACTTGATATATGTATATATAAGCACATCCCAGCTTCTTATGTATAACATACATTTATGTATGTGTTTGCTATGCATTGCACTTTTTTTTCTTTAAGAAGTACCTGTATAATAATGGCCAGTGGAAAGTATGATGGATACACAGAGGTGAACGACTTGTGAATTCTGCCTTAAGGAAGGGAAGGATTAACAGAAATTACAGTATAGGATAATGTCAACAAAGGAAAGTGACAAAGAAAAAGGCAATCTGAATTACTGAAGTGCCTGAGCAACAGAAAATTTTTAAGGAAATAGTTCATCATCTATAGGTAAATACAGTCAAACTGCATTATTATTAATGCCTGTGACCCATGTTAATACCCAGTAAGGCAAGAGTCACGTGTGTCTCTTCTTCATCCCATCCCCACACCTAACCCATCACAGGCACTTAGCAGACGTGCTTAACGGATGACTGAATGACTCGTCACCTCAACTAAGTTTATAAAATTTTACCTCGAAGAGGCCTCTGGGAACCTGCCTTTGTGAAAAGAACTATAATTTAGGATCTTAATCATTTCATAAATGGATGTTCCACAATTACTTGAGAAATGCTGCTGTTATATGGAGTCAAAAGAATGGCCCTGTAATCGCATTAAAAATTTAATTCGCCCTGCAAAAATGTTTAGCACGTGTAAGAGATGTCACCTTAGTTTCTACATGACATTCTAGAATTTGGAATCTGTAGAATTCAGACTAATGAGCTACTTAAAAATTACACCCTTGGCACGCACGCAAGCTTCAAAGAACATAAAGGAGACACTCAATATTTCGGTCTTTGGAATATTTCTGATAAAGGTGATAAAGATGAGAGAGGAGACATTAGGCCCAAACGTGACAGTGGCAGCCCAGTAAGAGCCTTTGCTCAAGGAAGGTGTGTTCCTCCCTACCTCCTCTCTCTCCACCACTTTGCTGAGAACTGGTGGTAACGATGTAACTTATTCTAAAACTGCGATGACTGGGAACACTGTGGCATTTGAGTAAATCATCCTGTAAGGGACCATGGGTGGCCGTAAGGGAATATACATCATGGTCTAGGCACCTTCCAAAAGAGCTCGAAGGGAATGAAGTTCAACCTCGAGGTGACCGAAACCAGGATTACGGTCCTTTCTCTGCTTCCGTCGTGAGGTGGGCCCTGAAAATGCCAGATGACTTGTGAGAGCCATGGAGAGCTTTGCCAAGAGTCTAAAGAGATGTGGCAGCCATGCCGTCGGCTACAGTGAGAGGGAGCCCCGGTCCTGGGGTAGTGAGGAGGAAGGTTTGAGTGAGCTCCTGCCTCCATTCACTTCTTGTACCAAAAAGATTTTTCTGTGAATTACAAAATACTTTTAAAAATATGATTATAAGCTCAGAACCTTTTTTACAGGGTATTTGACTAAGTTCTCTACAAGCAATCAAGTGCCTGTATGGCAGCATTATAGCCTGAAAGAAGTAAACAAAGTTTTAAAAGTGAATTGATATTTGTAGTGAGAAAACCACCCTTCTAAAACATGAAAATAATGTATAGATTCTGGTGTCTCCTTGAATCATCACAGCGACATCTGAGCTTCTGATGCTCACGAGAAACCTAGCCCACTTTTCTCCGCCCACCATCAGTCCTAAAGTGGACATGCTTATTACTTCTGGAATTTCAAATATAGGTTGAGAGTGATATTTGATTTTTGTTAGCCAGGTACAATATACTGGTTATATTCCTTTGAGTAAGGGGTTAAATGCAGGAAAGAAAAGCAAGATTTTCTCAGACAAGCAATAAAAAGAAATCAAGAAACGCCAGAACTGATTCTCCACCTCCCTCCCACCCCCCAAATATTTCCTTCCCAGGACCAAAATTAGATTTCAATCGAAACAGTGCACCTGTTGCCACAGTACTAAGTAATTTTTAAGATTCTGTGAAATTGGATCCAAAGAAAAAAACTCTTCCCTTAATCTAAGGGGTTATTTCTTTAAGATCAAAAATAATGCAATTGGAAGGAGCTGGAAAGAATTTCAGAACTCATCTAGCTGAGTCCCATAGGAGTCCCTAAGGCCGACGGAGTTACTTGCAAGGTCACAAGCATGACAGTGATAGAACAAGCCCTCTGGCTTCTGTCCAGAATCTGTTCCTTTACAGAATACCATTCACTCTGCACTGCACGTTCATACAGAGAAACTTGTGATGAAAAATTTAAGTATGAGCATTATTTTTAAAAATATCCTGAGGCACCCTTTTTTTTTTTTTTGCATTACTGAAACAGGATCCCGAAACAAAGCTCCAGCAAATACACTAGACTAGCACATTTATTTAACAGAATCTATTAAACTAAAACCAAGCTACCTTATTATCATGCCAAAAAAAAAATACTCCTAAGTCTAGTAAGAGCTATAGGCTTTGTTTTATTACAGGGCATGAGTTTCATGCTAATAGCCTTTAGAATGGGAATGACCCACTCAGACCTGGCCTAAGAAGCTACAGCATCTGGCTGCAAATAGAAATGTGCTAAACCACCTGATCACACTGAACTACCAGCTGTAAGGAAAGATCTAGGACCAAATAAAATGCACTTGGACCTGTGATAAATACACAACTTCCTGACAGGGACAGCTGTGAAATACTTGAACTGGATGCGATGACAGTCACTGAATCCTGGAGGACAATCGTCAGGACTCTAACCTAGAATGGAACGTGGCTATGTGACCCCAGAACAAACTTCTGTGAATCCCTAACCTCTAGCCTGGCCCCCACCTCAAGGCAGACACCAATACAACGTCAGATGGTGGCAATCGATGCTGAGACAGTCACCGCAAGTGATGACTACTCCCCTGCGTGGATTATTTTTTTTTTTTTTTCACGTTCGGCATCGGAAGCACGTAAAAGCCTAGCCGACTGGAACCCCCCAGCCGCTGCTTGTAATGCGGAGAGAGCAAGAAGAGGCACGGACCGCTGTGTGGCGCTCTGTGGGACTTGTCCCCGTTCGCCGCCCCTGGCGCCTTGTCTCCTGCTTCCCTCTCACTGGACTCTTCGCTTACTGTAGAGTCAGCGTCGGAGGGTGAAACTCTGCAGACACAAAACAGATGTAAGCGTTAGGAGAAAGAGAGGAAGAGGAGGAAAGGTCACATTAACTGGGACGTGGAAGTCAGGCCTCCAGGCAGAACTGGCAGTGGAAGGGTCTAACGCATGATTTCGCAGCCTGGCATCGCGGGTCTCATGACGGCACAGGGCTGCCTCTCTGAGACAGTGGAACGTGGGGTACGAAACGCCTTGGCAGGCTACAAGTCAACGAATGCCAGGAAATAAGGTGCCAGGTTGGAGGACAATCCCTTGGGGCCTTGGACTGAACTTCCAGGTCTGGCTCAGAGGATCTGGACTTCGGGCCTGGTTCTAGGTTACCTGGGTCTGCAGAATCCCTAGGGAGCCAGGGGCGTCCTGCAGTCACCCCAGAGAACTCCAGATCTCTGGAAGAAGTCTACACTTATGATGCAAACGCAACGATCACCACGGAGATTTGATTCTCTCTACATGAAAAGCAAGGATATCATGGAAGCCGAGCAGCACCGAGCTAGTAAAAACCCTTAAGCGGTCAGCACCCCTTCTCTTCGTGCTCCCCGGCGATGTGAAATGCCAACACGATTCTGGTGCCCGTGAGGGATGCTAAAATCTCACATTAACCATGCAGGCCATTGAGATGTTACGACGAAATGTTTAGGATGAGACGACAAGGTGAGGAAAAAAAAAAAAAAGACTTTGCAAAATTGTACTAGCATATAAAATAATCTTTAAAGATTTAACTTACCCTTAGCCTGCAAGATAATTAAGCAAACAACATCTCTCTACATAATTCAATTTCTTTTGAGAAAATCATGTTCTAAGATCCATTAAATCCGTAAAAGTAGGCCAGAATCCCCAGGGTAGGTTTTCTGAGAAGTCAGAAATGATAACACCATTTCTGAATATTGGTATGATCACACACCTCTTCCCTTTTAGCAGAAAATCAGGATTTGGAGTTTCAAACCTCAGAGGAAGGCTGATAAATTTGAGGCTTTGAACAGCCAAAGTTTGACTGTGCTATGATCTAACGTCGACTTAATAAAGCCTGGTTTAAACTTCATCTTCTCACAGAGCTGCAGCTCTTCTCACGGGGTCAGAAGGTGAGGGGGGAACCTCCAGCTAGTGTGTTAACGAGCCATTCTCCACATGCTCTAGGAGACAGGAGGGATGATTTGATGGAAGGCATGGAAACAAATCGGGAATGGGGAACTGGGCGGGGAAGAGGCAGGGAGAGTCCTTGCAAACATGCTCACAAGGGTAACAATGCAGGCAGCCGGAGAAAAATCAAGCCAAGAAAGAAGGGTGTGATGAAGGTCACCTGCAGACAGAGCGATGAAGTCAGAGTCAGCTGCTGGCATAAGGGGCCAGGACAAAGCCAGTAATGATGGCTGTGTATTGTGTACCATGCACTTTGTGGACATTATTTCTGATGTCATCGCCACAGGGATGAGCAGGCTCATCCCAGAATATATACATTCGAACTGGTCAACCCCTCATCAAGTCACAGGGGACCGCCGACTCGTGGCGGACAGTGATTCATACTCTTAAAAGCTTCTAGGGGAGAAGGCAGATGACCCCCTTACGTAGTCCATTCTCGTGGATCACGAGCCCTCGAGTTCGCTGACTTTGGGCAAGCCGTGGCCAGTCCCCCAGGCCACAGATTCAGACGATAATCACCGTCAACTCTCCTGATACTGGCCATGGACAAACTGAAAACAAAAACATGCTCTGTGATACAGTACAACACGGGAAGCCCACTACGAACCTTCCTCTGTGACGGACGTTCTTGGAGGGGACCTTGGCCTTGGGGCTCGGCACGTCTCCATTTTCAGAGGGTGTGGTATGGTCCTTCACAGGTCCTGGCAGTGGTGCTGGCTCATGAATAATCAATATGTCGTCTTTATTGTGCTGACCCAGATGCTGCTTGGCAAAATCGAAGCCCTTCACACTGGGGATCTGCAACTGAACACACATATACACGTGTGTGCACGCACGCGCACACACACAGACGACACCATCAATCCGAAATCTGAGGACTGTAAAAGAGATTGTGAGGGCGGGCAAACTGTGAGAGACAACTTCTGACTCAAGATTGTGCCTGCGGTTCCACCAACCTAATTCAGCGAGCATCTCTAAAATGTCAACTGTGTGCAAGGTGCCATTTATACCAAGAGGGGGCAGAAAAGACAGACACCTGAGAAAGAGTGGAGAGGGACACTGAAGGGAAGAGATGAGTCATGAGGGAACAGGAACTTGAGGAGATTAAAAGACAGGTTTTGCTTTAAACATGCTTAGGCAGAGAGGACCAAAAAAAAAAAAAAAAGCTCCAAAGGAAAGCAGCTCCGTGTAGTCAGGGGACAATAGCTTGGGGCTGAAGATGTGACTTTGAGAGCACCTGTCTAGCAGGAGACATGTAGGGGAGTTGAGATTTTTTTAAAGATGAAAACAGTCTATGAATAACACGTTGGAGGACATCTAACAGTTTGGGGCTCGGAGGATAAAAAGAAAGCCAGGGAGAAAAAAATAGAAGGTGACTTCAAAAAAGAAAAATGTGGAAAGTTCAGTGTAATGGAAGCCAAGGAAATAAAGAATTTCTAGAAAGGAGTGGCCAACAGAAGCCACGGGGGCACAAAGAGGAAGGAAGAAGGGTCTTTGAAAAAGTCCCCCTCGCACGGATGCAGCAGTCCTATGTGGGGACACGAGGTACCAACACTCAACCCACAAACAAGGCCCGGCGAGGCTGCGACCACGGTGTCCAGGCCTTGGCTGCCAGGCCTGTGCCCAGACGGGAAGGGTGCTCGAAGTACGAGGAAATGGGGGCCATAAGGGAGGGATGTCACTTTTGATGGCACCGAAGGCGCCAGGGGTGGACAGTAATAGCTTCTTTAATTTGAGCTTGCAGTATGGGAAAATTAACTACACATAAGTAGTTGTGTCGATGGTCTCCCTAGCAGAAGACCGCATGCTAAGTCAAACCTGCTTAGCCGTGCCTACAGTCCTTTCAGTCAAAAGACCCCAGGGCAAACCCACCTAAGCAGTTATTTTAGACAACAGACTATGTCTAGAAGCAAAAGGTTTTGTCATATTTGTGCTAACTTTATGCACAGATGAGCGTCAATACCAATGGCTTAGATTTGAGATCTCTCACGTCTTTTTAGCGCTAAAAATCTAGGATCAATGGGTAGGAAGGTGGTCTGCAATAATGGCTTCCGCCAGCAGAGGGAGACAAAACTTACCGTAAGCGTAGTTTACAAAGATGTTGCTTGGAAACAAAAGGCAAAGACCGGCGTGCCTATATTTTCTAAATTAATGCTATCCACCACACGGGCAGTTTGTGAGTGGCACCTGCCCCTCGGTTCAGGAATGTTGTTTCGAAAACAATGAACCCAAACCTGAGGATTTCTTCATCCATGGGACTGGATTAGCACAGTGTGACCTTCGATTGGGCTCCCCCAATTCCTAGGGGTGCAAGCTTTCCTCGGGGCGTGCAGCCCTTTTAAGGAAATCAAATTCCGGAGAGACAAACCTCTGTATCTGCTCTCACCTACAAGTGACTTTCCTGAGACTGTGCCAGTGATCTGGGCAGCCTGCTGGGACCCCTTCCTCACCTCCTGTCATGGGAGTTCTCCTGCTTTACAGGAGGGGTGCACCTCTCACCCACGTGGTTTTTATTCCAGCTGTACCCCATTTTAGCTCCATAAACAAGGTGCCTCTAAATGAAAGAACAGATACAATCGACAGTCACTTAATCTCCACCATCAACATCATTTTTATCAGTCTTGGCAAAATCCTTTTTGATTTCCCAGTATGAAAGCAAATGCCTCTCGTGACTGGGAACCGATCTCTTTTGCAAGGTAGATGGTTTGCTTTAGCAAAACTGAAAGGAGAGCCACAGATTGGAGATCCCCCTCTAAGCGGACGTCCCCGATGTGAATAAGGGGACAATACAAACCGCACTGCTTCTTTGGTGAAGTCTGTGTGACAGCCCCAAATCTAGGAACCAAATGCCTTCCCTGAAAAACTCTCAGGGCTCACGTAAGAAACCAGTGCGTGTATGCCAAAACACTTCACGAATGACAAAGTACCACACGAGGAAGAGCGACAGCATCGTTACGGCTCTTGGCTGATACACATCAAGCAGTTAAGATAAATAGTCAGCTGTGAGTTCTCAGGCATCAGATCAAGCTGTAGATATAAATTCAGATACAAAATTCTGTAATTCCGCAACAGGATGTGACACCATGATAGATCCTCAATAAATAGTTGATGACAAAATGGATTTCAAAAAGGTCAATCGAAGCGCCAAACCTACTAGATTTTGCGGGGCAGCGGGGAACCAAGAAAAAGGGAATATGTTATCCATGAATTATACATCCATTGTAGCCTTGCAGTCCTGTTGGCTTATTGCTGATTCCAACCAACATCTGTAAATATATCCATTAGATCCTTGCACTTCTCAACGGCTGGGTGAGTCACCGCCTTCTACAATGAAAATCTGGCAACTAGTCTGTGCTTATGCACAAAACATAAGCCATCTACACACAGAAGGACAAAGTTAGAGGGAATTGTTTCATCCCTACTTTCCAGTACACTTTTTCTAGTTCTTCCATTTCTTAAAAAAAAAAAAAAAACTAGAGTGAAATCTGGCCGTGTTGTCTTAAGCTCCCACATGCAAATACTCAATCAGTATTTTATAAAAGGGTAGCCGATTAATTAGTGCCGTCGATGTTCCTATTAGGACTCAGTTATTTCTGAGGAAGGACAGCTCTTTTTGTCCCTTCTTTATCACAAAGAGGACAGACCCCAGTGTCCATGCCCTACCAGAATATGTCAGGGATGAGGCAGGGAGGCCTGGTGGAGCAGGTCATCCAAGTAGCAGGAGAGACGCCTGCTGATTTGTAAAACGCGTGAGCCATAAATATAATATGACCCAAATGGAGCAAGACAGACCGAAGCCCCCAGCCCTCAGGAAGCCTAAACCCCTGGGAAGGAGCACTAATGACAAAAGAAACCACAGAGCAGACCCCAAGGTTCTGGACGAAAATGTGCAATCTTGAAGAGAATTCCATTGCTGAAGCATTTACTATGGGATGGATGTGATTGATCTGTGAAACTCACAACCATCACGTTTCCATTGAGAAGGTGAAGACGAGGCGAAGTTATCGCCATCTGTCTCTGCTGCAGCCCAGCACGGGGCCACCCTGTGGTCTCGAGTTTGGGAGATCAGTCCTCCGAGATCCTCCCGCCCCCCGGGCCACAGCGAGTCACAGGCAGCCAACAGCGGGGGAGCTGCGAGCACCCACACGGGAGGCCCTGAGGGATTACTGCGGAGAATCAAAGAGCAACGGCGGGGGACGAGCTAAGCAAGCCTGGCGGGGGTGAAAGAAACACTCATGAAGCTTCTCTTTAATCCACTGTCTACACTGTCCCTCCACGTGACCGTTCCAAACATGTCCCAGCTGCTCTCGCCTCTGAGACCCCTTCGATGCTCCCCACCCCCTGCCGCATCATTACGACATCCTGCAAACCCCGCCCAGCCTGGCTCTCGTCCACCTGTCTCCCCGGCTTCGGCTGTGTCCTTCCGCACCTCCGCTCGTCCTTCCTGAGCTACACGCTGTTCCCTCTGCCAGCACCCGCTTCATCTGGCTTCATCTCCACAACCTCTGCGCTTCAGTCCCCCATCGCCTCCTCACGGACGGCAGAGGTAGCCCGCCACGTGCCGTGGGGTGGCTGCTCTCGCCCCGTGCTCCTGCGACACCCTAGACAGTTTTACTCTGTGACTGTGTGCCAGCCTTTAAATGGCTTGTCCTTCTCCTGTACTAAAGCCCTCGAAGGCTCGACTAGCTGGTATCTGTGCCTGTAACCCAGCCTGGTCCTGCCTGGCTCAGAGCAAACAGTAAGTGCTCGGCGATCGGAAGGGACAGTGTCTGGGGCAGCGCCATCTGGCTGCCCGCAGAGCCGGCCTGCTAGGAACTGTGGTCCTGGGCCAACGGCGGGGTGTGGATTTGTCCCCGACAGAGGAACAAGTTTCCATGGGCCCAGCCAATGCCATCCATATCTTTAAATAGAACCTCAACAGGGCGAGGCAGATCCAAGCTGAGTTTGTTTTTGTTTTTGTTTTTTTTAAGCAGTGACAAGTGATGACTTTGGGCTACAGATTAAAGAGAATACAGATAAAAGAAAAACATGGGTTAGGACTTTTTTTTCTTCGTTATTAGGGAAAAAAAAAAAAAGGACACTGCCTCAAAATATGACAGAATAGCTTCTCCCTCTATCATATTTCAAAACTAATCCACTCCCAGACAATCTGAAGAGGTTTCCTTCTCGCTACAATGGGAAGGGGGTGTGGATTTTTGGTCAGCGGATTTATGGTTTCCAGATGTTTGTAGCTCTGGGATTTCCTACGAGATTTCAGAGTAGCAGCGAGGCAGTGTCGGGGGGCGGGGTGAGCCGAATGGAGAGAGAGAAAACAGACACACCAGGAGAAAAAAGAACACTGGCACCCCACCCCCTTCCCCCTGGGAAGAAACTGTCTTTTCCAGCTGCCCCAAGGAACAGGCCAGAGGCCCTTCGCTGCTGCAGAAGAGTCTCAGAAGGACTGCTTCTGCGGTAGAGATGCTCGTTTTTCCACTAAGTGGAACTCAGCATTTTCCCATTATAAACCCACGACGAGATCGACACGGCGGATTCCTGTGCCAGCAAAATAAACCTGTGCTTCTGAAATGGAGCGGGTTTTACCCTCCTCAGCAGAAGCCACTGGTCTCTCAGGAAAGGTTCATGCAGAAGACCCTCCCTGTCGACTTGTTGTACAAAACGTAGGAGCAGCACCAAAGGCTGGAAGTGCTATTTGAAACTTGGCCCTTCGGATGGATATACAGCCACACCTGGGCTGGGAAAATATTTCGGAAGTGGGAGAAGGAGAAAGCTCGGGGAATATCCTACTTTGAATTCAAGAGATGCTGACCTCTGATAGCTTTTTTTTTTTTTTTTTTTGGTTTTCAGTTTTCAATTAGAGTTGACGCTCAATATTATTTTATATTCGTTTCAGGTGTGCAGCGCTATGGTGAGACATTTATATCCGCTCGATTAGTCTCGTCCCCACCTGGCACTATACGCAGTTATTGCGTTATTGACTACATTCCCTATGCTGTACTTCACATCCCTATGACTATTTTGCAACTGCCAATTTTACTTCTTCATCCTGTCCCCTTTTTCACCATTTGTAAGCATAAACTCAAAATGGTTAAAGACTTAAATGTAAGGTCTAATAGCTTCTTGAAGTGACAGATAATAGATGGACTTCCACAAGGAGTGCTTATGTTAGGAGCTAGGGAATATAAAAGACCTAAATCCATAACCATCTATACTGGTTAAATCTCTCTGAAACTATACTCTTAAATCAGAACAAAAACATGTCCCAATATATTATTGAGCTCATTGCAATAAACTCATTCTATGAATCATTTACTATATCCAGTACTTTTTCCCAGGTTTTTTCCATGCCATCCGTTAGTCTAACAAAACAGACTGCATAAATAATAAATGAAGATAGGTAATAAATATGAACTTAATGTATAAAATGGTTCCGCGATAGACTTCAAAACCACAAGCTCGCAGTTTAATCAATTTTGCATTTCTTAGTTAACTCACAAGAAAAAGAATACTTCTTCATTTACTCTTACAAAAATAAAATTTTTTAAATAACATTTTTTGTCTTCAGCGGGTCTAGCTTTGTAATGTTTTTATAGCCAATCAGAATAAAATTCAAGGGTAAACCGGGCGATTCTTGATTTCTTGTTCTTTTGCCTCTTGCTTACTTTTTCTTAGCCAACTTTTAGAGTCGAGTGAGCTTTCTAAATTTGTGAGACCCATAGAGAGTGCCTGCTATAAACACTGGACTGACAGCAGAGCTGTCTCCCCACTAACGGCTCTGTGAAATGCCAGCAGCCGGTGAGCTCTTCTAGCATTTGGCATGTTTTTGCTCACGGCAGATGAACCAGAACTAGATCTGGACCAAGAGTCAATGTCCTTGCTCGGAAAACTTGTGACAATTAAATACTGCAGAAACCATTGAAACGTGTGAGAATTGCTATTACCAAAATAAAAACCAAATTGCTATTACCAAATTGATAAAAACCAAATTGAATGCTTCAGAAAGACATGGAAAAGGAGATGCTAAAAAATAAACTGGCATCAAACGAGGTGTGGGTGGGTTAACTCTAACTCTGAAGAGTAGGGTGGGGTGGTGGGTATTAAAATCTAGAGAACTTTGCTCTTCTCTGAAGAAAACCCAAACTGGAAACTGCAGCTGATGCATTCTGGGTACTGTTTATTATAAGAAAGCTCACAGAGAATTCCTCTCTGGAGGCCGACAATCCAAAACGCAAAGACTTGAGGTATGTTGAAAGACCGACGACTAAACACCTACTCATAGAAGTTATGCTTATGGCACGGATTACTATTTTTAATGATCAAGTAGGGAAGTGGGCTTGTAACACAGTGGGTGAAAACTTAGGAGCTGCCCAGGGAAGTTGTGCATGAAAGAAAAAGACACACAGATCTGAGAAAACCTCCCTTGGCTCCCGTTCTCTGAAGACATCCAGGGTTAAAATAGATCAGAATTCACACCCAGAATAGATGTGCTCTTCCAACGGATCATCTCAGAAACAAAACCACAGAGGAACTCGGAGCTGAGCCTTTACACGGCCTCATCCTCCCGGCACAGTTAAGACTACAGGAGAACTGGGCTTTCAGCAAGCAAACACGAAGGCACAGGGCCGTTAAAGCCAAAGCAGATTTCCCTGACAGCTCTCTCCCCCATCTTTCCGTACCAAGAGGCTGAGCGCCCCTACCCCTGCCCGCAAGATGCCTCCGTGAACGCTGGGAGTCGGCGGGGGAGGGGCCCTTACCTTCTGACGCTGCTGAATGTTGGCCACTGTGTCGGGCTGAAAGTCCAGCTTGTCCGTGCGGCAGAGTTTCCAGTACAGGATGACGACGATCACCGTCACCACCAGCACGGGGATGACCACGCCGACGACGACCCAGAGGTTGCTGCTCTGGGACTCCGGTGATGGCCTCTTCACCCTGTCCACCGCTGCAGACAAGGAAGGAGGGCCTTGGAATAATTTCCCTGCACTCCTTTACTGGACAGCCATCCTAGGCAGTGCACGTGCCTTCTGCTCCGAGAAACCGGGGCTGTCCCTGTCCTTTCTGCTCTAGACAACCGGTCAGAGGCTAAGATCTCCTGAAGACGAGAAGCATGACACATCTAGGGCACAATCAGGGATCACAGTGACATATATGATGTGTCTCAAGAAACGTGTCTCATTCGACGGCAAAGCTAGTTCACATCGGGCCTCCGGACTTGCAGTGTATCACTAGCTCTCCACGGGAATGCTTCCGCACCACAAAGACGAAGTCCTAACAGACTCCACAAGCACTGCCTTAATGTCCTTCCCTGTGTCTCTCCCTAAACTCCTGAAATATGGCTTTTAATCCAAAGTGCTGTACTTCGGGTACCAGGTGTCAATTTCGAAATCGTATTAAATTGTACGGACTCTTTTTGAACCTGCCACTCCCTACCCTCCCATCCTCCTCCACCCCTACTGCAGCCCCCCATCTTCCACAGCCTTGGACAGTTGTATTTCAATCACTCGGTCCTTGATTTCCTTCCCCAGCTCCCGTCCCTAACCCTCCCTCCCAGTGCCAGGCCCTCGTCCTTCCCAAGGACTCAGATCCTCTAAAGCTCAGGTTCCAGGCCAGAGGCTCTGAAAACCAAAATGCCCCTCCTCCCTGTCCACCCTCCTGATCCCTTAGGGCTGCGTCCTGACAACCTCTCTGTGGCAGCACGACTTCTGCCTTCTCTGAGTTCTTTGTTCTGGCTATCTCTGTCCTGCAGACGATACCTAACTATTCTTGTAAAACACATTTCACTGCATAGATGTACCGAGTTGATAATACTACTTTGCTCAGTGATGTAATCACAGCTCTCAGTCTTGTCTTTTCAAACGCATCTGAATTTTCATGGGCTGAGACTAAGCTTTACGCTGTTTTCGTACCCAATAATGGTTAACACATGCTCTGAGATCAAAATGTTTCTGTTCAAAGAGGAAACAACAGGAAAAGATTCTTGGTGCTGCTTTAAGTTTGGGTTGAGGCCCCCGGAGACAGCGATGTGGGAGGGGAGCAGGCACTCTACAGCACATGCTCTACGAAAGCGGCATGAGTTACAAAGCAGAGAGTGTGCGGGAAACGAAAAAGGTGAGAAGGTGTTAAACGTTTATATTTTTTACTTTGGCCTGAATATAGTTTATATACGTAGCTCATGAAAATAGTTCCTATATGTTGTATGAGAACCATTGATGATACAGAAGTGACAGAATCAAACTGAGCTGGGACAACAGGGTATTCCGAGTTCTAGCCCAGTAAAACCCGGTGAGATGCGCAGATTGCTAAGCACGAGGCCCTGACACAGGGGCCCACAGCTGCCTCGGGCTGGCCGCCTTGGTGTTGGCTGAGGCTTCCAGTCCCGGGATCGATCGTTAGCCGTATGGTTTTCAGCACAAAACTGACAAAGAGCGGCAAAGAGCGGATGGAAGTAGGCTTGAAAGGGGCCCCATACTTTCCTGCAACTCATCTTTTTTGAAAGGTGAAGTGCATAGCTGCAGTGGGGAACCTCCCCTACGATCAGAAATGTGCATAAAAAAAGTAAGTGCTCTGTTATTTTTCCCTCGCTGCTTTGAAATAGAACACGCTAATATGCAATCATATCTCGGGCACAGGGTTATTTGCTGCAACCCTCTCATCACCCATGAAATGGAGAAAGGGTGCCCATTAGCCCTCATCCTGGTTGGTTTCCAGGGACAAGTAGAGATTTCAGAAAGAGTCATCTACTACCAAAGACAATTTGGAAGCAGTCGTTTTTTTTTTTTAAACTGCCGTTGTCTCCTACGTACTCCCCACACAGAGTTTTTTTCCAATATCCTCTGATGCCGAACTCCTCCTAAACACTTATCCCTTTCCTGTCGGGAGCATGTACCACTGAGCTCTCAGAAAGATCGCTCTCGGGATCGTAAAAGAAAAACAGCCTCATTAAAATAGCAGTCTGATTCAGAAAGGTGTATTTACAGAAGCACACTCGTCCATGCCTCTCCTTTTCTTAATTTTAAATACCCAAAATCCGAGTTGGAGGGAAAAAAAAAAAAAAAAAGGCACTGAGAGCAGCCACTGCCAGGGGGGCAGGAGTGTCGTATCGTCCAAAAATAATAAAGAAACATCGAAATACTTCTTTCTAAAGTGTGGAGTGGTGTGAGGACAGGGTGGGGGAGAAACAGGATTGGAAAAGGGTAGGGATCAAGGACTTCTTTGTGTTCAAAGACCCAGAAGGAGGCCAATAAATGCGGAGGGCACCTCCCAGCTTCCTGAGTGACTCACTGTCCCTACCAACGTTCAAAATATGACATGTAAGATTTTGGAATAAATACAGAGAAAACATGGGATTGTACCTAAAACTTTTTTAAAAAGAGAAACGGTCCAGGAGTAGGGGAAAAAAAATATTAACGTTAACGTAAGCTACTATAACTCACTATAACACTGTGAAGACAAAATGGTAGGAAGGAGAAAAGGCAGTGAAGGGTACAACCACAGTCACTAAAATGAAGACGGTCTTGGCAAATGAATTTCAACAACTGACATCTTACGTAAGTGCCACTTAATAATAAGGATTTATGGGCGAGGGGGGGAGGTAGATGAAGCAAAAGGGATCAAATATGTGGTGACATTAAAGAATTTAATCAAAAAATATCGATCAATTCATAAAATAAGCACTCTAGAAAAAAAAAAAAATAAGGGTTTAAGACACAAATCTACTAAGCATACATAAGAATGCCTTACATTCAGAGTTCACTGTCAGAAAAAGACTGGCTTCTGACCCCAGCCCAGCACAGACAACCACTGAGGGGCCAAGCCTCACGCACTTACGCTGGGCGACAGCGCCTTGAATTCGGTAACCCAAGATAATGGCTGCTCGCTGGACATCTATCTTGTTGATCAGGTCAGATGACTCGACTGCACTGAGTCTTTCTCCATCTTGATTCTCCACAAAGTAGATGAGCTGCACGGGATTGTCCTCTCCCTCTAGCCTCGACACATTTACCATCTGCAAGATAATAGGAACCGTTAGCATTTTAGAAGCTCGTGTGTCCAGATGCCCTTTCTCAGGGCACTCAATCCTCATAATAAGCTCCTTACACTCTTCCCAGTTCCAGAATCCCCATGACATTCTCTTGGTGGGAAGAAGGACAGTCAAAACAAAAGTTCCTCTGTGTGAAATAGCGAATGAGCTTCGTCTTGCTCAAAGTCTTCTCTGAGACAAAGGGCCAAGTAGGATTCACAGACCACTGGATTGCCAAGTCTAGGACGCTAAAACTGCTACTGAGAAGCTCCAACATGTCATGAGAGGGTGCTGCCGTCCTTATAACATCAGCCACAAGGGTTAGGTACATCCCTGGTTCTCTGAAACTATTAATTGTTCTATCCAATCCCTTCGTGAATCCATTAGCATTTTCTCCCTGTTTGTCTAGGCCAGGGTTTCTCAACCTTGGCACTGTTGCCATTTTGGTCCAGATAATTCTTAGATGTTGGGGGCTGCCCCGAGCATTACAGGATGTTCAGAAGCATCCCTGCCTTCAATTCACTAGATGCCAGTAGCAACAGCTGCACCCTCCCTCGCCACTTGTGACACCCAAAAATGCCTCCTGACATTGCCAAAATGTGCCCTATGGAACAAAATCACCGCCAGTTGAGAACCACTGCTCTAGGGATAAGATATCTCAAATTCTTTAATACCCAGTATCCTCAATAGGTAGATCCTTCCTACAGAGAACCAAGAGGGAAACAGCAGATCTGAACAATGCTACAGCCTGCATGGACCTAACGGATGTTCACAGAATTCCATCTAATAGCAGCAGAATGTACACTATTCTCAAACACACACAGACATTTTCGAGGACTGACCATATGTTAGGCCACAGAACAATTCCCAACCAGTTCAAGAAAATGGAAACTAGATCGAGTATCTTTTCCAACCACTGTGGTATGAAACAAGAATCAATAATAGGAGGAAAGCTGGAAAATTCACAAATATATAGAAGTTAAACAACACACTGCTGAACAACAAATGGTCCAAAGAAGAAATCAAAGGGAAATAAAAAAATATCTTGAGACAAATGAAAATGGAAACATAATATACCAAAACTTATGCGATGCATAAAAACAGTTATGAGGAAAGTTTATAGCTATAAACACATACACCATGAAAAAAAGAAATATCCCGATCTAATTTACAACTCAAGGAACTAGAAAAAAAATAAATAACTCCAAAGTTAGCAGAGGAAATAATAAACATCAGAGCAGAAATAAAGGAAATAGAGAAAAGGAAAACAATAGAAGAGTTTAACAAAACTAAGAGGTGGTTCTTTGAAAAGATAAAATTGATAAATCTTTAGCTAGACTAACCAATTAAACGTGAGAGGACAACATTAAAAATTATAAATGAAAAAGACATTACAACTGATACCACGAAAATACAAAAGATCAATAGACAATTATGAACAATTATACGCTAACAAGTTAAATAACCTAGAAGAAATGGATAAATTTCTAAAAACATACAACTAAGACTGAATCATGAAGAAATAGAAAATCACAACAGAGCAAAAATGAGTAAAGAGATCAAATCAGTAATCAAAAACTTCTCAACATATAAAAGCCCTGGGACCAGATGGTTTCAATGATGAAGCCCACCAAACAATTAAAGAAGAATTAACACCACTTCATCTCAAAATTTTCCAAGAGAACTGAAGAAGGAATGCTCCCAAGCTCATTTTCTGAGCCTAGCATTATCCCGATACCAAAACCAGGTAAGGACACTAAGTAAACTACAGGTCAGTATCTCTGATGAACACAGAGGCGAAAATTCTCAACAAAATATTAGCAAACCAAATTTAATAGCACATTAAAAGGATCATATACCATGATCAAGTGGGATTCATCCCTGGGATGCAAGGATGGTTCAATATAAGCAAATCAATAAATGTAATACATAATGTATTAATAAATGGAAGACAAACATTATAAGAACATCTCAATAGATGCAGAAAAAGCACTGACAAAATTCAACATCCATTCATGACATAAACGCAACAAATCGAGCATGGACAGAACATACCTCAACATAATAAAAGCCGTATGTGACAAACTCACAGCTCACCTCCTACTCAACGGTGAAAGGTCAGAAGCTTTTTCTCTAAGATCGGGAACAAGACAAAGGTGCCCACTCTCACGACTCCTATTCAACAGAGTAATGTAAGTCCTAGCCAGAGCAATCAGGCAAGAAGAAATTAAAGGCATCCACGTTGGAAAGGGAGCAGTAAAACTGAAAACCCTAAAGATGCCACCAAAAACACTATCAGAACCAATAAATGAATTCAGTAAAGTTGCAGGACACGAAACCAACACACAGAAACCAACTGTGTTTCTATCAACTAACAACAAACTATCTGAGAAAAAAAAATAAGGACAGCAGTGCAATTCACAATAGCATCAAAAATAATAAAATATTTAGGAACAAATTTAACCAAGAAAGTAAAATATACACTAAAAACTATAAGACACTGATGACTGAAGAAAACACAAACAGAAAGACATCCATGTCCACAGATCAGGAGAATTAATACTGTTAAAATATCTACACTATCCAACACCATCTACAGATTCAATGTAATTCCTATCAAAATTCTAATGGTATTTTTTACAGAAATAGAAAAAACGACCTTAAAATTTATATGGAACCACAAAGAACCTTGCTGATAAAGGGACCAAGAATATTCAATAGGGAAAAAGACAGTGTCTTCAATTAATGGTTTTGGAAAAACTGGATGTTCACTTGCAAAAGAATAAAACTGGACCCCTATCTTACCCCACTCATGAAAATTAACTCCAAATAAAGACTTAAATGTAACACCTAACACCATAAAACTCCTAGAAGAAAACACAGGGAAAAGGTTCCTTGATATTGGTCTTGGTAATGACTTTTTACATATGAGATCTAAAGTACAACAAAAGCAAAAATAGACAAGTGGGATTGCATCAAACTAGAAAAGCTTCTGCACAGAAAACAAAAAAAGCAATCAACAAAACAAAAAGGCAACTTACGGGATGGGAGAAAAATATTTGCAAACTGCATATCTGATAAGGAGATAATATTCAAAATAGACAAAGAACACACACGACTCAATGGCAAAAAGATAAAAATAAAAAATAGGCAGAGGACTTGAGTAGACATTTTTCCACAGAAGGCATACAAATGCCAGCAGGTACAGGAAAAGGTGCTCCGCGACTTAATCATCGAGGAAACGCACACCACAATGAGATATCACTTCACACCTGCAAAAATTGCTCATATCAAAAAGACAAGAGAAGTGTTGGTGAGGATGTGGAGAAAAGGGAGTCCTTGTGCACTGTTGGTGGGAATCTAAACTGATGCAGTCACTATGGAAAACAGTACAGAGGTTCCTCCAAAAGTTAAAAACAGAACTGCCCTGTGATCCATTAATTCTACTTCTGGGTATGTATGCAAAGGAAATGAAATCACGACCTCGAAGAGATCGCTGCACCCCCATGTTCACTGCAGCATTATTTACAGTAACCAAGACATAGAAACAACCTAAGTGTCTGTCTAGGGGTGAGCGGATAAAGAAAATGTAATATACACAATCTCTGGAATATCATTCACCCATAAAAAAAGAGTAATCCTTTACATTCGTGCTTCGAATCTCGTACATTTGCGATACCACAGTTTTGCACAAATAGAGCTTTGTATTTTGTTGCCACTTCTTAGTAAGTTGTATGTTTTTAGAAATTTATCCATTTCTTGCCATTTCTCTTAATATGCAACAAGTTCATTGCCCCTTTGGACTCCAGTAAAATGCTGGATTTATGTTCTGAGAAAACGATCAACAGTGACTCCGAGTCCTCGTTCATACATGCAATTTGGCGTTTGGTCTCTACATTTGCCATGGGTAAAACGGCTGCCACTTTTCTAGCCACAGCTCGAGAACTGTTAACACGAGTGGCTGTGCACCCTACACACAGATGCTCACTGCCTCACTGGGAACTTCTGGCAAGTCGACGATGTCATGGTTTCACTGTGAACGCCTTCTCCCAGATCCTTAACAATGCAGGTCCACACCCTCACCCCTGGAGGGTCTGTTCCTTAGACGTCCCCCCACTAGGAAGGGCTCACCCATCCTGCCTTTGTCTACTGTTTCTAGACCAGCTCCCTGACCACTTCTGCTCCCTAACCACCCACTCCTTCCCCCAAACAATGCTGTACTAATTGCTTGTGAGCCTCTAGGATGAATAACATCAAGGGCTACTGAAAAGCAAGGAGATTATATCCACCTGTCCCTCTACCTATGTGCCTATTTACTCCACTGAAAAGTTCTGATACAGTTTAGAGATGGTTTCTTCTTGCAGAAACCATATACCCAAATATCCAGTGATAGCCCCCATCATAAAAGATGTTGCTACCAGCTTATCCAATCTGAAAAGAAGAGTCGTAAAATCTAACTCCAGCATCCTTTCTGGATGACTTCTTATCAGATTCATAGCTGGAACCCATACGATCATGGTATGATGGAGTCATCTGGGGCAATGTTCTCGATTTCATTCTAAAAATTGTTTTCTGATTCAAATCACATGTTCACTATAGAAATTACATGCTCAATGAAAAGCATGGGGAGAAAAGTGTATAAAGAATAAAAGGAAAACCGCCTTGAATTCAACCAAAGAAAACCATTGTAAATGTGGCGGACTTCCATCTATTAATTCTTTTCATGAGTTTTATGTGAATATTTGGATTATATTCTACATGTTCTTTTGTAGCCTCTCTTCTCTTGACTACCCTTTTACATCGCTAATTCAAAAAAAAAAATGATAATAGCTGCATAATATTCCAGCATATAAAGAATCATGAAAATTCCCCATTCCCCAACTGCTGAACAGTTAGGTCATTGCAATACTTTTACAAGTCATGTTTGCTGAGGAGCCCAGGACCATGTGCATCAACCCTTGTCTCCATCTTCTCTCAGAAAGGGGAGAGAATGCAGGGCACGGGTCTCAGGTGACCCGTCGGATGGCGCCCGCTGGCCTGGGGTGGCCTGGTTAACTTCCATGAATCCAATATTCTCACTTTATGGAGCCTTCCTAATTTGGCACCTCATTATGTCATTTTATGGTGCTTTATAACTGTTTTACGTGCATTTATTAACCTCCTCCCAGACTCTGAGCTCTTGGAGGAAACCAGGGTTACTAAGGCAAACTTTTTATAATTCATTTTCATTTTTATTCTTTATATTTATATAACTGTAAACATACACTTATCAAATATTTATATTAACATTAGTCTCATTTTTTAATTTTTTTTTTTTTACCGGTTTTAAAAGTTTCTTTATATTCTATTGCACTTGGCAAAGGAACTACTTTAGAAACCTAATGACCGCCTTTCCGGGAAGGCAAAGACAGCGATGCTTGCAGGGGGGGAGCTGGTGAAAGGGTTACGGGACGGTGATGCCAGCTCTAGCAAACGGCCTCGTTGCCCCTCCTCTGTGCCAGTTTTGCATCTTTCTCTCTAATGCCCCTAAACCACCAACCTCCCTGCCCCTGCACGTCCTGGTTTCACCCTGGCTTCCTGTCTCTGAAATGCCAAAGTTCTAAATACCCCATTTTCCTAGCTCTACAAGTCGGCAGTTGTTAAGAAAAAAATCCAAAATGACATAATGCACCTTGACATGGGAATAAATCGCAGCCCCGACTCCGACTCTCTGTGAGCATGTGCATTTTAAAATGGGTCCCTTTCTAATTCAAAGGAATCTGTCCTTTGTAACTTTTCTGCCAGGTGGCAAGGTGAAGAAGATTTGGGGTGGCAGCAGGTGGAGAGGATGACGTGCTAGAAGAGAGAGCAGGAAATTTTCCTCTTCCTGGTTTCTTAAGGTCCCTTCCATGAGCGATTTCTCTCTATGATGCTATCAATATACTTACCATTCCATCATTGACTACATTTGCAGTATTAAGAAATTACTTTGGGAAAAACAAGGCCATCCGATGGTATGGCAAGCCACTGACACGATTCTTCCGCCACGCTCCCCACCAGGTCTTGCTGTGCCACCTGGCCATGTATGGAGGACTCAGTAAATGTCTGTCTAGACACTAGTTGACTAAAATGTTGCCACTTTCAGTTGCTACCTCATACGGCAATCAGTCTAACTCAGGGCTTTCTCATGGCGGCTCCCTTGCATGAACGGAAGGCAGGGCTCAGACTGCTCTCTCGGACTACCTGCACGACGCTGTTGCCACCGGCGGCCACGGTGGCCCTTCTCCACACCCGCCTCCTGGTGGAGACCTCGCTGAGCAGCTGGGCCAGTTTGCGCTCCATCTCCGCCTGAAACACTTCATTCTGCAGCTGCTTCTCAACGACTCCCAGGAGGACTGCATTTAAAATGAAGCACAGGCCCCCAAACGAGTTAGCTAGCGGTGGAGGGGGGAAAAAAGGCTGCGTGCATAAGAGAAATTAACGTAGGGTTACTATAAAACGTGGATCCCTAGAGAGGAGACATTAAACGGGTTTGGAAAAGTGAGGGAGGATCCAGGAAGTGCTGCTCATCTTATCCACAGTTCCAAGCTCCACGTGTCTCAAGAATAGGGGGGGAAGGGGGGCCGGGAACCCCGGGAACGCGGCATAGCAGGAGCTCTGGAGCTAGGGAGGCCTGCACACGCCTGGACAGTCTGTCTGCACTAACTTCAAAACTTCTGGGAATGGTTTAAGTTCCTATCTTATCTTGAGTCAGAAACTGATTCGAGATAAGGTGCCTCTCTTCAGACATCGGCTGTAAATAAGATTATCTAAACAGACAATTGGCATGTCAGCCAGAACCGGTTCAAATCTCCTCTGAGATAGGACCACGGGCAAGTCATTTAACCGCTATGAAAATTATGTGAGAAATGAGGCCGCTGTACCATGCAGGGGTGGGGGCTTTACATGGGATGTTATGTGTGAGGCAGAGAGGGCTGGCAGGGTATGGGAACCCAGAAATGGCGACTGTCGCCACTTTACGTGCTCCCTCCCTCCCCTCCGACCGCTTACTCGCTGTGCTGCTCACCCACTGGGCACCCGGTGGGCATGTTACTACCTCCTACACGTTGGTGTGCCACCGGTTAGAAAGTCTTATTCTGCAATGCCATAGCTGTAAATATCTGACCCGGGCCTGCGAGACTTTAAAAAAAGCTTCTTATCCACTCACCGAGTTACCTTATTTATCTTTATAAAACCAAACGAATAAGACTTTGAGAGAAAAACGAAAGATCCTTGATTCACAACCCCATCCGGTTGTGGGTCGGAAGACTGTCAGCTCCATTAGGCTGCTCTGCACTGGATGTATGAATTTTAGAGAAAGCCGACCAATCCTTTGTGTGTCATAACTCAGTGGGACACATTCCTAGAGCTAAATTTGAATCCCTTTCTCATTCATTCTTTGCCAAGAAGTTAAAGTACATTTCGCCCTGAATTGAGGACTCGGAGACGGAAAAGGTGGTAGATCATTCTTCACACCCCCACACAGACTTCTTCATCTTACAGGGTACGAAATCTGACCGAAGTTAAACATACCTGTTCTTACCCAAGACGATTTCAACAACTGAGACAAGTTGAGCTGTGGGTACTGGAAGGCTATGAAGAAAAGGGTTGGGGGAGGAGACAAAGCTGTGAGAAACACGTCTGCCACAGTCAGAAAGGTGAGTCGCAACGCACTGCCTTTCCTACACTAGGTAGCACTACATACGGAAGACGAAGTCGCCAGATCGGCGTGGGGGCCGGACAGCACGCGCGGTTTCTGCGCACGTCCGTCTCAAGGAGAAAGAGGACAAAAAGGAATCCAGGGCTTGCTCACGTGACACTGTGGGACGCTGTGGGACGGCACTTCAGAGAGAGGTCACCCACACGTTCCCCGTGAAATGTCACTGTGCCCGGAGCAATGAGCTTTCACACCGTGTTCTTTGGAGCCCTAGGATTCTCTGGCAGTGACTCAGGGTCGCTGCCCCGATGTCCTGGCTCGCCTGGGACAGGCCCGGTGTATACCTGTTGTACAGCGTGCGTATTTTATCCACGCCTGCACTGTCCGTGACTGGAAGCTGCTAGATGTAGAGAGCGATTTTACCCCTGTCTACTGCTGCATGTTGACAAGGCATGCTTCTTCATTTCATTAACAACACACTAAAATGCATTAAGAATCGTTAGACCATTTGGCAGTTCCACCTTCGGGAAAAAGATTTTTTTTTTTTTTTTGCCTGACTTCAACTCTGGAATCTACTGCTCTTTTTTTTTGAAGTAAATGTTTCTGCCACACCCAGGCCTACTCCATGTGCACTGTGAATCTAAATGCATCAGCCAGAAAGAAAGGTTTTGTTCCCATTTATTATTCTTTTTTAAGTGTACACCTAAAAGTCACTCTTTCTGGTGCACAGTTCTATGAGTTTTGATGACCGCACAGAGCTGTGTAACGACCACCACCATAAAGATCTAGAACCATCTCATGGCCTCCTCTCCTCCCAAACGGCCATCTGCTACTCTTTTGTAGTCTAGCTTTCCTCCCAACCCTCACCCCTGGCAACCACAAATCTGTTCTCTGTTCTTCTGCTTTTACCTTTTCCAGAACTGGTAAAATCTCTCATAGCACCCTCTTCCTCAGAAAAGAGATTAAATCGAGGTCCAGTGGGTGAGGCCGCAGGGCTGGAGACCCATCCTGGCTTGAATCCGAAAAGCTCTAATTTTATCGGATTTGCATTCTGAATTTCAGCCCAATATTTCACTTGAGGAAAAGAGGTTCCCCCCACCACGGAAACGCCCACGACCACGTCCGTCCCCAGCACTTCGCGGGGGAGTAGTACTCACGTTCGGCCATCTGGAGCACTGGGTACCCCAGGTAGAAGCTGAACTCCACCACACTCAAATTCCTGAGCAGCTCGCTCACTTGCGTCCCGTTCCAGAAGCCCTGGGCACCTTTCACCGCGAAGACGATGTTCACAGGGCCCCGCCGGGGGGCCGTCCTCGAAGGACCCACGGTGACGTTCAGGATCTGAAAGGAGAGGTCGGAACAACACTGTGGGACGGAAAACATTCCGCCGAAAACATTCCGCCGAAAACCTGACTGATTTCTCCCTCACGATTCCTCTCATCGGTTTTATTTTATTGTATTTTTAAAGCGAGTGACGTGTTTAAAGGAAGAGTAACTGGCGTCACGACCTGGTTCCCTTTCGCAACACTTTAAAATCTCAGGTGATTGAGAATGTTTTTTACGTTAAGTGATGAACTGAGTGCATGTGTCTACATGTATCACCTCCCTCCCTCCCACCTCAAATCCTAGTGAAATAACAAGGGGCTGAAAAAAGAGGAGCAATCAATCCATGACAGTACTGAGAATGGAAAAAAAAAAAAGAGATTCTGTCGAATTTCTGGAAAATGGAGAAAGGATGGAACCATATTGGTATAAAGCGGAACTGGGGGAACCAAGACCCGTGGCACAGACTCTAGGGGAGCTGAGAAGCATTGTCCCTAGCAGCCTGGGAGGCTCGAAGATAGAGACCCACAGGAAATAAGACCGAGAGTAGGCAGCTGTAATTAATTAAAGCCTCTGTGCCAAAGAGCTGAGTCAAGTGCCTCCCTCCTTTTTCCTTTCTGTCTGCCACACCCAGGCCAGCACAGAGGTGCCAGCAGCAGCCACATCTCCACCCCGAAGAGCCTGAAGTGCGGCCCCCTAAGGAAAACAGCTCCCTACCTGAGAGACCCACCGCAGGTTTGGGCCCTAAGCGAGGACGTGGGTGGAGACTGCACACAGAGACGAGGAAGGAAATGAAAGAAAAAGTAGCTCTGCCAAGAAAAAGCTGCACTAACGTGCTCCATCCCAGGGTACAACCTCTTCATCCTGCCTGTCTCGACCACACGCTGCCCCAAGAGAGAAACTCACCACAGATGTATATTCTGCCTGGTACCTGGTGCTCCACTGAATCTCCCTTTAGGACACAGGGCTGACACAGACACAGACTAGACAGCTGAAGGGGAAAGCTGAACGAGCTGCCAGAGTTAACCACCTGCTTCTTCACTCCCGCCGACCAACAGTTTCCAAACATTTACAGAAAAGCAACAGCACGAAAGCAAAGAACCGAGAGCAGCACAGAACGATGGCCTCAGAGAAAATAGAGATAACTGAGGAAACAGAAGACGACTTTCAAAAAACTCTATTGTCCTCAAAGACTTTCAAGGTGACATTATATCCTCACACAAGATAATCTTGCATCATTGCAGGAAAGGCTGCAATAAAAAAAAGGAGCAAAGAACAATGAAAAAAATGAAGGCGTCGCGAAAATCCAAGAGAGGGACTGAATAATATAATAAACACAGCTGAAGACTAAATTAATGACTTGGAGGGCAAAGTTTAGATAATCTGTAAAAACAGGAAATTAAAAGGAGATGAAAAATATAAGAAAAAAAATAGAAATAGGAAAGATGAATCCAGGAGCACCAAAATCTATTTAATATGAATTCCAGAAAGAGAAGACGAAGAATATGGAGGAAAAAACATACCAAAGAAATAAAATAAAAACAGCAGCAGTGTCCATATGATGCATACGAAGCATGTTCTTTCATTAGTAGCTATATTGTGTTTTTTTTTAGAGTGAAGCACTGCCTTTCCTGGCATTCCATAATATGAGCGCTAGTATATTTTGGCATTGTCCCCATTGGATAAACTATAAGTTGATAACGTTCCTTTTTAGAAGAAATTTTCTGGTCTGAGGCCATGCCACCCTGAACACACCCGATCTCGTGTGATCTCGGAAGTTAAGCAGGATCCGGCCTGGTTAGTACTTGGATGAGAGACCACCTAGGAAGACCAGGTGCTATAGGCTTTAAAAACAAACAAACAAATCAATAAAATAGAAGGAATTTTCAGCTCACCATATCTGAGCTACGCGACAATACCACGAAAAGAGATCAGCCCCAACCCACGTGAACTGACTCTCCTCCACTGGAGGGAATCGGGAAGAGCCAAGTGCATCTTCAGCGGAACATGACAAAACTGGCTCCCTTGGAAAGCGAAAGCCTCTCGTTCTGCACTCGGCGCTTCTCACCTGCACTGTGAGGTTATACGTGGCCTGGTGGTGTTTTCTCACTTCAGAGAGAGCTGTCATCAGGCCTTTCTCGATGCGCTGGGTGAAGTTGCAGAAGCCAGTATCCACGCTCTGAGGCACAAACTGAAGGACTGAAAGACAACAATCGCAGTCCCATGAATTCGGCGTTTCTTTAGTATCGATGAAGGAAGAGAGGGAAAAAGAGGACCTAAATCAACTAACTCATCCACAGCCCAGGGTTACGTTCTATGGTGTATTATGTATGCGTATATATCACGGAAATGTAGGAAACCACCTCCGAACCCAGCGAAGATATGCAATGGGGAGGCGGCGTCATCATTTGTGAACGGGAAAAATATCTAAGATAACAATTTGAGCACAAGAAGCTGCAACTGACTGAAATATTTCAAATATATATGAATTCATTAGAGATGAATTAGTAAGTATTTATGGGTGAAAACACACGATATCTGGTATTGCTCTGAAACACTCTAGCTTCTTCAAAAAAAAATATGCAGGGGATAGATAGAACGAAGTTGGGAAAATGTTGATAATTTTTTAAGCTTAGTAATGGACATAAATTAGCTTAATATGTTATTCTCTCTACTTTGTATATGTTTGAAGGTATCCATGAGGAAAAGTTAAATATAATATTAGAGAATTACTGTGACTTTTAGGGGATGTGATAGCACTTATAGATGTATATGTGTATATGTATATGCATACATGCATATATATATATATGTATGCATATATATGTGTGTGTATGTATGCACATGGTGTGTATGTATAAGTGTGCATACCTTTATACGACTGAATATGAATATATATGTATACATGTAGATGTGTACATGTATATATGTATATGTATGTTTAATAATCTATCTCTTAGAGACACAGGCTAAAATATTTTTGAATGAAAAGATATGATGCCATATCAAAATAATATGAAAGGAATGATATAGATGGGGGTGTGGCTATAACCAGGCTGACTAGAAGTTAAACACTGTCGAAACCGTACCATAGGTACAAGAGGGTTCATTAAACTATTCCGTGTACTTCTGTATATGTTGGAAATTTTCCATGAAGTTTTTTTGAAGATTTAAATAATGAATTTTAAAAAGAATCCTCCCCAAAGTTTTAAAAACAAAAAAATAAAGTGAAATTCTATTTACAAGTCAAAACAGCTATGCTTGGGTTTTCTCACCTGTTTGAACTTGGAACCTGGACTCTGGCACAAGGAAGGAAGGTTTCACAGCCAAGATTAAAGGAGTTTGGTCACGTACAAGTTTACTGTTTATAAGTACATTTATGACTGATATTGCCGTGTAAACAAAAGGACCGGATGTTACCAGAAAAGTGAAGTCAGCGAATAGTTCGTAAACCTATGAAAATAAAAAAACATAAGACAATAATTATCAAATTATCAAATCAGAAAACCACAATTCAAATGTAGAAGAAGCTGTACTGAGATACATAATAAGGTAAAAAACAGCTAATTTTAAATGAAGAAGTAGGGCTTCACAGATACTCAAATTTTATTGAGGACAGCGAGAAAGAACAGCCAACAATACGAACTGAATAAGGAGTTATGGAAATTCAAGGTGTTTGCTTGTTTTCACCCACGTATAAACAAACAATTATTCTATTGAGTAATGCTGTCCAAAAGAAATGTGTGAGCCACATATGCAATTATAAAATTTCTAGTAGCCACGTTACAAAGCATAAAAAAAAAGAGGTGAAATTAATTTTAAAGACATTTTGCTTCATCCAATATATCTGACATCATTTCAATAAGTATTCAATACAAAAAATTATCAGTGAGATATTTTACATTCCTTTTTTCACTAAGTCTCTAAAATCCAGTATGTATTTTGTGCTTAACAGCCCATCTCAGCTCAGACGAGCCCAATCCACATATGGCCTGTGGCTCTGGCCAGGATGGTGTGGGTCTACAGTGTGGCTTCTGAGCTCATGGGGGTGGGGCGTGGGGGTAGAGAAGGCACCAGCACAGCGTCTGCCGTAAAGCATTTGAAAATCTTGATCTTCCTGAATGTACGGAAACATGCATATGCCCACACTCTAAAATCCAATTGAAACTCTGTCGCAAGTCTTTTCATGCAAATTAGGAGAAGCAAAATTGTTAGGGTCCTCACTCCGAACTCTGGCCTTAGAGCCCCCTTTGTTCCAACTCTGCCAACAAAAACCTGGCCTTGTCTAGGGTCAGGAAGGGCTCCTCTGATGATGTGACATCTGAGTGGAGACTCAGAGGATGAGCAGGTGATCACCAGGGGAAGGGAGGGGAAAAGGGCAAGCGACGGTTCCACGACCATCATCCTGTGCCTTCCCCCCAGGCACCTGTGTCACACTGCCTGCCGCAGGGACCTACCCTGAGCTCCACTGCCCGATTGAAATGAATCCTCAGCACCTCCTTGATGGACGTGATGATGTACTCCTGTACGGCTCTTCTGGCCAGCACTGCAAACGAAAGCCAGCACCAAATGCAGTTAGTGGCATCATGAATAACACGGTCATCACACTTCCAGACACCAAGGCAGAGCCTGTGCTGTGCCAAAGTGACTTAGCGGCTACAAAATCCGTTTTCCAAAATGAGAAAGAACAGAGCAACAGCAGTGGATCTTGAACTTACCAAATCACCATGCACAGCATCAGCTCAATGTGCTAATAAAACCCTCGACTCTGTGCCCCGCCAGGTAAGACCAAGAATCAGGGACTGTGGCCTCACCCCGTACTGGCTACGTGTGGTCAGTGCCTTCCCAAGGGCCAGCCATGGGTCACTGGAGAGTGCTCTTACTTTTAGTGTAGAAAGCCATAAAAAGACTTCTTTCAGAGGACAAAGAATCACCCCAATCCTCTCTCTCTGACACAGAATTACGAAAAACAAAAACAAAACCCAAGGTCAAGTCTCAATGAAGATTCTAAATGAGGTGATGCTTCCTCGGGGTCAAAATTATCCCTGAGAGCAAAGATGGTGCTCATATCCCCTTAAAAATACTGATTAACAGTATGAATATTTAGGCACAATTCCGTACATCTACAAAAACCGCTGAAGTGTAATACATTTATAATGGGTGAATTCTACCCCGGAACGCTATGAAAAATACATGGATTCCTAATAAAGGACATCAAATTCATTAAATGTATGTCATATGTGTAAGTTAATCCATGCTACAAATATCTGATATTCTTAGAGACACTTCTAAAATAGTTTCTAATCTCTAGAAAAATCCTAGAAGGCACATTGTTACTATAAGTATCAGAAATGTCATGGGATCCCAGAGATAAAGACGCTTTCAACAGTTCTCCTAATAAGCCTCTTGTAACTCACCACTTTGTAACTAGTGTGTAACAATGTTGCAAGAAAGAAGTATCACCCATATGAGAACTCTTCTCTCTCTCTCCTGGACTACTGTAATCCTGCAGATGAAGGTTCACCACTCTGTCCCAACCTCATTTCCTCCTCCCATTACACAGTCTAATTGCCAGTCAAGCTGAATGTCCTTGGGCTGTCAAACCTCCCCACCTCCGTTAGCACCCTCCACCCAGAGGACACTTCCCTCAACCTTCAGCTGACAGCCTTTCGCTCATCTTTTAACGTGACCTCCAATTCATATCCTTCCAAACCCGTCCCTTATCATCCCAAACTGTCACTCTTAAGGAACTCTGCTTCAACCATTCTCATCACAGCTACCGAGAAAAGAGGGCTCAGCATCCGCCCCACTAGACCCTAAGCCTGAGAGACGGAACCACGTCATTCATCTCTATATTCCTTAGAGCATCTAAAAGCACCTCCCACACACACACGAAGTGCTCAATAATTACTTGTCACATGAATTAACAAACAGTGTGTCATCTGAGGGAGGGGGGAGTTAGGAGAGCAAAGGCTTCGGCGGCCGACCCTCTCAGAGGTGGCAGCACTGCACGGTGAGGAGAGGTCGCGTGGCCCACGTCACTCGGCACAGAGAACGAAGGTGAAGTACGTTCTCCTTCTCCCTCCCGTCCTCTCCTCCCTTGTCCATGCCATTCCACTCCTTCTCAACCTCTCCTGCCATCTTCTCACCCCTTCTTCATGTCTACCCTTTATCCCCATCAAAACCAATAGTGCCAGGCTGCTCATCTACAGCGTGCTGTATGCATCGACAGGTCACGAGACTGCATGCACACCCTGTCATTTCTCACGAAGAACAAGCTGGAGAGCCTGGTCAAGTGGACCACAGTCGCTGGCCTTGTACAGACATGACAGCAAATGTACTCCAGTTTCAAGTGAGTAAAGCAGCTAGGCAGTGCCCAGGGGAGCTGCTGCTTGTTGGCTAGTCACTCAGGCTGCAGACCAGGGCGAAGGTCAAAGGTTATGACCAAACTCAGAGGACATGTAGTCACTCCGTGTTTCTTTGCTCAGGATCCCAGTGACATTTGTGGGAGTATATAAGAGCAAAATGCCCCAGCCTTTCAAGAATAAGAATAGTAAATTAGTAAGAAATTTGCAATGCTTGCCCTTAGACTTTTTCCCAGGTAACTGTGTGAACTAAACATGAAGGTGTTTATTGTGACGTCTTCTAAGCATCCACTGGGTTATGCATCCCAATATCCTAGCAAAAGCGTCTACGTTTGTTTGTATGTTTTTAATTTTTCATTTATTCTTATTGCTACGGACCAACTACTACATAATATTCTGTGGGTATTCCTTATGTGCCAGGCACTGGGTTCAGTATTTTATATGCATTCATGCACTTAAATCTTTATAATAACCCAATGAAGTAGGGGCCACTGCCATCCTTGTTTAATAGTAGAGGAAACGAAGTCTTAGAGAGGCTGAATGTTAACTGTCTGGTGAACTAATAGTCGATGGCCAACGGAGAGAGGATTACCAACCCAGGACATCTCTGAGTCCAAAGCCAACATCCTTTGCCCACGATGCTATACATATTTCATAATGTACCTTAGAAAGATCACCCCTGGACTTTGGGTGGTAAACACACAACAGAATATACAGATGTCAAATTATAATGTACACCTGAAAATTATATAATTGTATTAACCAATGTTACCCTGATAAACAATTAAAAAAAAAAAAAAATCACCCAACCAGCAGAGGTGACCTGAAGCAGGGCCTTACCAGTCGTGATCAAATAGGCATCAGGAACTGTGATATCACACACATACGGCAGCGTGGTGGTGTCCGGCGCTGGTGTATCAACCATCGCTTCAGGGGTGAAGGTGACCAGAGGAGGAAGGGATGGAGGGAGAAGCAGCGTGCTGCTCTCATGGGGCTTCTGACTCGAATGCCTGCCGTTCGGGGTGGTGTCCACGGTTTCGTCAGGGGCAGCAGTGGTCTCAGGTGTGCTCAGTTCAGTGGAGGTGTTCAAGGGTAAGTCCGTGGGTGTGAAAGATGGGCTCACGATTATCGGCTCTGTAGGTACAGGTGAGGGGGTCGTTTCAGGAACAAACGAGGCAGCTGATGACGGGGACGCAGTGGTGACCAATCCTGTGGTGGTGGGAATGACTTTGGAGAAAGAGGATACGACAGACATGTGATCGTCCATGCCACTGACATCGTCGTCAGAAGGTGCTGGAGTCGAAAAGAGAGAGGACTCCGTTAAAGTGGGTGATGTGTGAAAAGCAGTTGAAGGTGATGTTGAGTGAGTCCCAGCAGTCGAAATGTCAAAGGGGAGCTCAGAACTGGAGGGCATCAGTGTGGTGACTGCGGATTCGTGAGACATGAGTGAAAACTCAAAATAGGAGGTAGTTTCAGTCAAAGCTGAGGTAAAATGAGCTTCAGAATCGTCTGTCAGTGAAACAGTTGATGCTTCAGAGGACTTGAGAGAATCAGAGGGGACGTTTGATAGCAGTGACATCTCAGAGTAACTAGGTAGAAAAGTGAATGTATTTAAAAGAAGGTCTGAACTTGGCCAGAGTTGAGAAAATTTGAGGTCTGGGGAATTAGGAACAGAAAGCTGAGGTGACTGCAAATTAATGGACTCGGACAATGTAAGTGTCTCAACCAAGGTAGAAAAAGCCTGAGAAATGACGGCCGACAGGTCACTTGACCCTGGAGACGGAGACACAAGGACTTCTGAAGATGAAGGCACCGAGCTGCTGAATTCCAGCGGTGGAGTTGAGAAAAAGCTGGATGCAAACTCCAAAATACTTTCGGTTTCATGCTGGGAAAAACTGGCAGGTTCTCGGTCAGGGAAAAGTGAAGACTCTCGTGAGGGATCCAAACTATATTTAGCGGACGTAAAAAGAGCTGGGTCTCTGTGAGCAAGCGACGGCGTGCTTTCCTCTGCTGTGACAGAGAAAGACGCATCCAGGAGAACACTGGCGATGGCTGAGGGAAACCCGGCTGTTACACCGGATGGTGTCACTTGAGTCTCGATGACAGAGGAGACAAAAGGGGCACTATCCAGTAACACCGGTACAGAGACACGGCCGTGGGAAGGATGCACCTGTGTGGCCACGTCCACCTCCGCTGAAATACCACCGCTCACCGATGACACTTCCACAGACCGAGAAGAAAGCGGAACTATCGGTCTTGAGGGGAAGAGAGTATTAAATTCTTGAAGCTCCTCCTCGAATTCTGAGAAGTCTGCTCCTGTGCTGCTCGGTGGGGAGACGCTGCTTGCTTCCATGACGGTCAGGGACAGGGCTTCGGCACCATCCCCCGACCCTACGTCCTTCTCCAGGAGGCTCGCCGACGGAACGTGCCGAGGAGACGCCACGGTGCAGGACGCGCACCCCAGGTGTGGTCGGAATGGGGGCGCTGGGCTCCGGACCTGAGTGTCAGCCACGTGACTTGGGACCACTGAATTGCCGGGCGGTCCCGACGCTTCAGAGGAGCTGCTGGGAAGGAAGGGGTTATAGGAGACATCAGCCGATGGAACAGAAAAGGACTCGAATGCAAGAGAAGTTGAAAACAAAACGGAATTTGTGCTGCTGCTGCTTCTAAAGACAAGGGCCGTCTGTGACGCGGCTGCCGCAGGGGGTGTTCCTGGAGAGACGGTTTCCTTCAGACTCTGACTCAGTGCAGTGGTCACATCAGGGTACCCGCCTGTACCTGTAGCCAGAACACCCTCTGGAGGCGTTGGGACCTCCCCCGACACGGGGAGGGGCTGAGGCACTGAAGACACTGAGCCGAAGAGGAGGGCTTCTACGCCTTCTGTTCCTGAAGCCACGATCTCTGGCAAAGTCCTGCTTGATAAGTGCCCGCGAGGGTCAGTGGGATAAAGCACCAAAGTCCCACTGGGAGTTGGAATGATGCCCTCGGAGGTGAGGAGAGCTGACCAGAAAGTACTGAAATGACTGGGGGACTCAGCACACGTGGTCGGTTGTCGCACTGTGTCTTGCCACGCTGATGCCACCTCTTCACCGTGGGAAGAAAGGCTGGGTAAGGGTGGGGTCAGTACGGAGTCTAATGTTTCTTTGGGCAGCCCTAGTGGGCTGACTGTGATACACTGTACCGGAGAAACCACACGGGAGGCGGCCCACTGAGTTTCTGGCAAAAAGTTATCCATTTCGTCGTCATCTACGACCACCTCGTTGCTTGTCACGGACACGTAATTCGCCACAAAGATGCTGTGATCTGCTTTACTTTGGGTCAGTTTTCCTAGGTTAAAAAAGGCTGTATCAAAAGTCGTGGCGGGTGGAGGTGACGTGACATGGAGAGGACCGCTTTGCCAGGACACTGGAGCAGTTCCTGTTAAGGCCACATGTGCAGTGCTGTGTCCCGAGCTCGCCTTCAGCACGAGCTCCACGGAGGATGAGGGGAGGCTGTGCTCATCTATAAAGCAAATCAGAGCTGGGTTAGCTGCAAGGCAATGAAAACCACGTCACTCACATCTTGTTTCAGACATAAATTTACTCTTCTAACAAACATCTGCTTTCTGTGAATACACACAATTCATAGTTAGAAGCTAAACAGGCAACTGGAAGCCAGAAATTGCCAGAATCCCTGTCATGGTAATATCTGCAACTATTCATAGACCTTTACTTTAGCTTGTGTGTGTGTGTGTGTGTGTGTGTGTGCGCGCGCGCGCGCACTGGCATTTCCCACCCCCCCACCCCCTTTCTAATGACGCCACAGAATACTGGAACTGGAGAAGGGCTTAGGAGGTTGTCCGACCTGTTCTCTCTCATCACATGAGAAAGAGGGGTTCAGGGAAGGTAACTAAATCAATTATATAAGCCCCTGGAATCTGAATATAACTCCGCCTTAACTCCCAAGCCCATGTTCTTTCTCTTCCATAAGAACTGGCTTTTGAGAGAAATGAACGCAACAACTCTGACTGCATCCCTCGCTCCCCAGGTAAGAGAGTTCACTGGTTTCCTAGTCATGGGACCTTCCACACTGAGGCTTCAGGCTACCTTCAGGCTCAGCTCTCATCATTCCCTGCTCCACTCTCATACCTTCCCAACTACGCTCTGGCCAAATGAGCTACCTGTAGTTCTCCAAACCCAAATTCTCTGGCTCAATGATTTTGCACATTCTTGTCCCTCAGCCTGCAATGCCCTTCCCCGGCTCTCCACCAGGATGACATCCACGGGTCCTGCAGATGCAGCACAGATACCAGCTCCCTCCTCAATATTCTGAAGTTGGGTTAGGGCATCTCCCTAGGTGCTCCACTGGAATCAACCGTCTGCTCATTACACTGTGAGCTGCATGAAGACAGGAATAATGATCCATTTCCCTCACATGATGCACTCGATAAACATATGTTAAATCAATGAATAAGTGGTGTCTGAGGACCAAGTTCTGATATGTGCCAAAAGCATCCTATCCACCTCTCAAAGGTTCATATTCCTTATCCTTGTGACAGTTGTCATTATCATTTGAGTAGTTTAGGTGTCTCCAACTGTAACTCAGATACACTGTGTAGAGGCAGAATGTGTGATGGCCCAGGCCTCTCATGAAGGTCTGGGGAATAGGGTACCATCCACTACGGTACAGGCTGGAGACGGAGCAACTATCATAACTCATAGCAACACCCTCAGCTCCTTGTCCAAGCTATCAGAACACAAGTGTGTGAAATGGTATAGGGATAATCTTGAATTCACTCTATTTTTAAAAAGTAAATTATTTCTATTCCATTCTTGGAAATATGGCAAACTAGAGATCTCAAAGCCTACCAACTTAATCATGCTTAATAAACGTTCAAAAACATCCTTTTATAAGATTGCATGAGCCCGCAAGACAACAGGGTACTTGTACTAAGTACAGGAGCAAAGCAGGGCTAGGGAGGTCATCGAGCACTGAAGTCCCCGGATAACCTAGAGGGACACTGGACCAGGTAGTCTAATGCTTAGGCCACCGGGGAGTGAGGAACAAGTATTGGGTGTTGACAGGTAAAGAACTCAACTGAAGACCATCTACAAAAAGTGGAGACCCAGGAAGTATCACATCTCAGGGAAGGACTGAATTAGGAAGAAAAATATCTACCCCTCAGAAGATGGCAAGAAAAAGTGTCTGTTTCAACTTTGATTTTGTGCAGATATTTTACAAAAAATTTCCCCAAGACTGGAATCTATACTACTTGTATGGTGCTGTGAACTAGCACTGTAATGTAAAGGAGACCAAATCTCCAGTGCCTGTCAGAGGCTAACGCAAATCATCTCCAGATGCACATGCTCTCAAACCAGGCATCGACGTATCCCTATAGCTAGAGTTCCAACGAATGTGAGTATAAAATTAAAAATTACAAAACATGTAAGGAAATAAGGTACGGTGAAAAAAAGTCGAGAGGAACCCCCCACCAAAAAATAATAATAATAATAATCTACGCATATAGTATCAGCTCTGTAAAGACTTCAGAAATTAGAATTATGGAATACACTTTGAAGGGACATTTAATTCATTTAAAAGAATAAAGAGGAGACTGAAAACACGAGTAAGGAGAGAGAGACTATGAAAGCACCAGGAAGATTTGAAAGAGAATGAAAAGAACATCTATTAATGAAAAATATAACAATTAACATTTTAAAACTCAATATACAGTATATAATAAACAGAGAGATTTAGTAAACTGGAGGATAAAACTAAAAATTACTAAGAATGGAGCACAGAGAAACAAAAGAATGAGAAATGTAAATAAGGGACGTTAAGAAATATGGAAGACAGAATAAGACAGTCCAACAGACATTCAATCAAAGTGACAGAGGGAACTGAGTAGAGACAATATGCAAAGAGCACTAAGAACTGTCCAGAATTAATGAGAGATATGAATCCTTCTATTCAAGAAGACCAAGAAATCCCAAGCAGGTTGAATGTTTTAAAAACCCGTACCTACACACCTACTTACATACCACAGAACACCAAAGACAAAGAGAAATTATAAATGTGGTCAGAGAACAGGAATGGCAATTACACCCTCAGATAACTACTTCACAGAACTAGGAGCCAAGTGACAATGAAATAAAATCTTCGTAGTGCTGACAGAAAATATCTGACATCTTAGGTTTCAATAACCAGCAATATAAAAATATTTTCAGATAAGCAAAACGTAGTTATACCAACGGAAGACCCTCGGTAGAGAAGGCTCTTTAAACAGGAGTATACAATAATTCCCAGCACCATCAACAGGTTCTGTGACTTTAAGCAAAGTGATGTTTAATGAAAACAATTTTACTGTAGGCTAATTGATATAAACAAGAGTTAAGTTCCCACAGCGTCTCATCGGTGATATAATAAAATGACATTGAACAAAACAATGTTATCTGAGGACCTGTTGCATACTTTAAGAGGAAAGGTAATTATCCCAGAAGAGCTGAGAAGAAGGAATAGAGAATAAATGAATGATAAAAGTATGGCTAAATCGAAACAAGTTCTGATGGTATAAATGAGCAACAATAATACTATGTAACTTCTGAGGTTACAAAAGACATGATGTAGAATTAAAATAGCTTACAATCACCCAGAAGCTGAAAGAGGCCATCCAGAGGTATTTGCAACTCACTAGCAGACATGAAAATCAAGACTTATGACAAAATTCTGTAAATAGATTTTGTGTGTATATACTAAAATTTGTAAATGATTTTTAGTCGCATATTTCCATAGATAAAATATTTCCAGCTGGTTCCATTAACATCTGAAAGTCACAAATTTACATCAGATAAAAGCTGCTTAAAGAATCATATTCTTTGTGATGTAATATAACTTTTAAAAATGAATGAACAATAAAACAAAACCATTTCTTAAAGACTTTAAGTTGTTTCGCAGCCACATTATTCAGCGTTTGTTGTCTTCTATAGGACCTGGCTCTAGGATCTGTCTTTGTGCTTTCTATTTACCTGTCACATTCCAAGCATGGGTAAGACAAAACTCAGAACTCATCACGACCAAGATAAAGTAATAGCTGTTCTTTTCTATAGTAAAGGTTAAAAACTTAGACATTTAAGAAGTAATGAAATCAACATTCTGCCCAGATATGTAGAAGATAGATTGGAAAGTTTTCCTAACAATAAATCGTTTTATGTGGTTGTTTTGAAACTCTGCTATGATTTAATTTATTTTGAAATATAAGCTCTGAACAGAGAGCAAGATCCCTTTTAAAATGAATCAGAAACATATTTGTGAGTGCACAGGAAGGCTGCAAGAGATAAAATAACAAAGAAAAGCGACATTTTGTGGCTAATTTATGAACCCGAGAATCTGATGCAAATTAGAAGTCAACGAACTCTGCCTTCAAAGGACAGGGAACAGGGAAGGCAAACTGGTCAAAAGGATGAAAAATTCTCCCGATTAGTCAACAGAGGAGTGAAAAACTTCCTGTTAAGAAATGTGAGGGGTGCCAAGCTGTGATGCCTTTTTCCTTTCTTTCGGCCAAGCCCAGGGGGAGAGAAACCAGCTCAGAAGAGACAGCTGCTGAAATGCCCTGGGGAATTGCTTCTGGAGTTAATTCAGGAAGAGGTTAGAAAACCCAGGTGAGTTCCTCTCAGCAGAAAAGGCTTCAGGGACGCTTAATTTCAAGCCCTGGAGATCAATTTCCAAGCTCTAAAGCGTCAGTTCATCAAAGGTTCTCTCTCTGATGACACGGTGAAAGGAACGAGACCCGAGACCAGGGCTCCCCAGACTTTAGTGGCACACAGATGACGCGGGGAACCCCATTCAGACGCGGGCGCTGTCCAGCAGGCCTGCTCCCTGGCTCCCAGGTGGGGCCAGGTCCGCATGGCAAGTGTTGAGGCACTTTCTCCCACGTAGACCGCAAGACACATGTTTGTTGGGTGCCTACCTTGAACCTGTCTTTGGCTAGGTCCTTGCCATGCTGTAAGTAACAGCAGGAAGTCCCCTCGAGCCATGCTGACTCACAGCGATTAAAAATTCACAAGGCAGATCCACAGAATGCACAACACCGAGAACCCTAAGGAGACCTCCAGACTTTGGGTGACAATGCTGCGTCAGTGTAGGTTCATGGATTGTAACAGATGTTGACAATGAAGGAGGCAAAGCCTGTGTGGGGGCAGAGGGCACACAGGAAGTCTCTGTGCCTTCCCCTCAATTTTGTGAATCTACAACTGCTCTTAAAAAAATAGTCTTTAAAAAGCATATTAAAAAGCTTTTAAGGAACTTTTTAAAAATTCAAAAGGGAGATAGATGCCTAACTGCCTCTAAGAACTTGTTGGTCTAACACATGCAAGATAATTTGGTATTTTATTTAACTTTGTTTTTTTTTTTAAGTCATATTTTTCTATTTGGAAAATATGACTTATATAAATA